AAATTCACAAAGCTGAAAAAGTATGGAATACTTAAGTAATTTAAATTTACATGATTTCTGTAAGTTTAGCACATCTATATTTCTGATTTGGGACACCCTGTATATAACCTTAAATGTTCACTTTAAAAATAATGAGCTCTGTACCCAATGCAAGAATTCAGAAAAAGAATAAAGAATAACACAAATAAATAACAAAAGAAATATAAGAGGAATCTAATGAACAAGATAAACTAACAAGTTAAACAGAACCAGAGACATGGAAGCAGGGAACAGACTGATGGCTGTAAGAGGAAAGGGGGGAGCGGGGAGTGGTGGTAAAAAGGGGAGGAAGTAGTTAAGGAACATGTATAAATGACCCGTGGACATGGACAACAGTGTGGGGATTGCTTGAGAGAGGGGGGCGGGTGGTTTGGAGGAGGGCAAAGGCGGAAAAATTGGGACAACTGTAATAGAATAAACAAGAATCTATATATATATGTATATACATATATACATATATACATATATAAACATATATATATAAAACAAAAAAAGAAAGGCAAGAGCAGAAATTTATAAATTACAAAGTAAATAAACAATAGAGATTACCAACCACTTCTTAAAAATACTCGTGAGATATAATACTCGTGATGAATAATAGGCAAATTTGAACAATAAAATACATGGGAACATAACCAGATACTTATGGCTTTAATTAAAACATTTAATTTAAAAATAGCTCTTACTCCAAACAATGCAATCTCTGAAACCAATCATTTGTGCACACTGACTACACCAAAGCAATTTCAGGCCAAATAATGAATTTAAGCAGGCCAATGTCATTTAAGTCCAATATCTCTCATTGTGAAAATAACTGTATCCTTTCCTGCTGTCTATTGTGTTGAAAGACTGTGTTTAGAGGAATTAAGGCAGGTAAAGGCCGTAACAACCCTGTTTGGGTAGTTCCTCAGTTACTCCCTATTCCCTCCCAAGCCTCCAAAAAACCCAAGGGAGAAGTGGGCCAGCAAGGACAAACCCCAAAGAGAGTATGGTAGCAATAAAACCTGTGGGGGCATCCCCAGTGCAGGAGAAAGAAGAGGGAAGTAGCAGGTAGGCTGGCAGAGCTAGGATCAGGACACACAATGATGGCATTCTGGGAGGGGACGGTCCACATCCCCACTAGCGGTGAGGGCAGAGGGTCAGGCATGGGCTGAAGGCACTGGGTTGGCTGGGTCTGCAAACTGTCAAAATTAACTGATTGATGCTCCCTTCTAGGACAAAGCTACTTGGAGGAGAAGCTTCTAGGAATAGAAAGAGGGGCCCATATAAAGGGGGCAGAGAAAATAGAGCAGGGGCTCAGAAAAGAGGGGTGCATTTGTGACACTTCAGAACCAGAGGAGGGGCTCCAGAGGCACAGAGCTAGAGGAGCTGAGCCCCTGCCCCAACAAAAGGTAGGAAAACTAATGTCACACAAAAGGAGCCACAGAAAAGAACTGCCTTTCAATCCAATACCAAATCCTTATCAGTAAAAAAGAATAAGGAGCAGAATCAGGTCTTTAGAGATGATAAAATCTTGCCAGAAAGATAAGGCCACAAATGGGTGAAAACTATAATTAATATCTCAAAATGAATTGAAATAAATTAAGAAAACAGTGGAAGAGAGTAAAGAACAATATAAATCAGATTTTGAAAATTAGTGAAAAAGGAAAATAGTTACTTCAGAAATAATGACTAAACTAGGACAATAAGACCATTCTGGCAGGGGCATGGTTACCTTAAGGACAGGGGTAGCTGACCTAGGCCATTGGAAGGAGAGAGGCTGCTGTCACTCAGTGGGGATGGGAGGAATTGCTGGTGCTCAGGGGTCCTCGGGGACTTGGTGGTGCTCCAGGCCAGGCTGCATGATACAGGAGTCCGTGACCTGAGGGGGGCTGGTACCCAGGACATCAGAGTCCTAGAGTTGAGGGTCTGGCTCTTGCTCTGCCTGATGAGCAGAGGTGCTTGGAAAGGGGGAACTAGAACTGAGGTAGAGGGAGTGAATGATGAGTGTCACACATGGCCTTCAAACCAGCTACAGGCTGCAGCACCTTCATCTTATATCTCCCTGGTAAGGGAAAAAAGGCCTTACATTCTTATTATAAGGAACCAGTGGGCCTGAGTGGCCCAGGCACACATGTTGATGGATACTGTGATCTCCTGGATCCCCTCTGCACAACAACATGCTCATGATCTTAGGTCACAACTGTGTCCTCAGAGGCAGTGAGCTGCAGCCACAGGGAATGCCTCCAGAAAGGGGAAGCCCCATTCAGGGGTGGTGTGGCAATGACTTGCCGATGCCTTTGCCCAGGACAAGGAAGGGCTATCCCAGATCCTGAGCGCCCTGCAAGGATGGGCACATCTCAATTGCAGCTGTGTGGCTGGGCAATCTTGATCCTCTGCCTAATCCTGCCTCCCTTGCTGACCTGTGTAACTTCCAGGGCCACTTTTCAAATGTTCTCTGGTGACAGTCCATCTCAGAGGCAATTTCCAGAGAACCCAGCCTAAGGTGCAATTCACTTTTGTAAGGGGCATCTACTGGGCCAGGGCAGGTGCTCGTTTGAGGCTTAGAATATGGCTGGTGACAGACTGACAATCCCTTCATGTTGTCAGATAAAAGAAGTTTGGAGAGGGGCAGTGAGCTGCTGTCCTGGGTTCTCAGCCCTACAATGGTTGAGCCAGGACTAGAAGGCTGGCCACCTCATTCTCTGTTCCAGCTCCACTCCAGCTCCTGCCTCCCTGGAAGGTGTGTTATACATTTTCTATACATTAATCTTCTGCATGTCCTTTGTGAACTGAAAAAGGAGTTGTATGGAAAATAACCTCACAGGATAATCTGATCATAAATTCCTAATGCGGTAGGTCACACCCCAGGCACATAACTTCTTTACTGAAAAGCTTCTCTTTGCTTTAAGCAAGCCCTGTCCACTGTTTCTGTGCATCTAGGTTAACAAACTGAAATAACTTCACTGAGTCGCATAATCTTGTTAACTGTCCTGTAATCCAATCCCCACCTTGTTTTCTCCCACCTTCATGTAATCTTCCTTATATTCCCTCCTTAATTTCAAATGCATAAAAGCAGCTGCAAAACTGTCAGTCTCTGGAGCTTTTGAGATCTTGCTCCCCGGCAAATGTATGGCTGAAATAAACTCATAAAAAATCTCCATTTGGACATTTCTTATGATGACACCTTCTATATTTTCTCCCTTACACTCCAGAAGGCTTTTTTATCTTGAAACCCAAAAACTGTTTTCTTGAGAAATATTGCAATTCTGATATACTTTGATCTTTACAGTATTTTTTTCAGGAGCATTTTTTCTACTTTCCTTTTCCTTAAGTGTTATAACGTGCTCTCTGGAAATTCTTTGTTGACAGTATAAACAGAAATAATTCAGAATCAGAAATATGCACAATGGTTCTTCCTTTTGTTGGGAACTCAGCACACAAGCCAGAGTTCCCTAAGTGGTTTGAGTTTATTGTTTCAATGATCGAAGCCATTTATTTTGGCAGGTTGGAAGTACACTGGCCTTCACAGTTGAATAAGTATTTACTAATTCTCTACAATACACTGAGCATCATTTGAATTCTGCTATTTTTTTTAAGTTTCATATTCACTATAATATTCTTCTGGAAATTAATTTGTTGTAGTTGCTTCCTGCTTATATTATTCATATAGAGTATCCATATGAGAAGAAAAAAAAAAACCCAAACCAACAAGAAGTGAATTCTTATCTCAGTTAATTTTTTAAAACTCCTTGCAACCACATTGAACAAAATTACCTTTCCTATTTCATGCAAAAAGGCATAATGAAGAGTATTCTTAAAATGACTTTGCAAGATGTGCTTTATTTTAAGTCAGTCCTGAACTCAAACTACACAGGATCAATTTGTGACATATTCTAGTCCATTCAATGATTCTTCTCAGAAACTGTGTTTTAATATGGAATGAAAACTACATTTCAGTCATAAATTTCCATGCTACATTGCTATTTAATGAAGAGATTGTATTACCAATAACAATAATTTAAGAAAAGGCCATTTTTTATTTCCCCAAGCTCAATATACATATTTCTTTCATAATTATGAACTTAAAAAACCCGTCTCAGATGTAAAAATGTGAATTGGAATATGTAAACTCTTTGATATACCTGAAAAACAGGGAGGAAATGTCTCATACTGGAAAAACCATTGCCTTAAATCATCGAAATGGGAAAAGCATGTTGAGGGATGAGGAAGGTAGAAGGGAGCTTATGACCTCAGTTAATAAAGAGTTACAAAGTCAAAATACTCCATATCCACTGGGAGGCATTTTTTATCTTTCTACCTCACCTCTGTGTTTCACCAGGAGCAGTAACTCTCTGAAGTGGAACAGCCACAACCATTGAATAGAATCACTAGCTGGGCCTCAACAAAGCCAGTGTCCACGTATTTATTTGTTTTGCTGCTTTTTTTTTTTTCCTGAGAAGTCACTGGTGTTTAATGGAAAAATTTTTATTAGTCTTCCGTTAAGATAAGGCAGTAAGAGTATCACTAAGTTATCTTTTTGCTTAGAATGAGGCTTATCTATCAACTGGCATCTTCATGGGTCATTGGCTCCCTCTCTCTTTTGCTCCTAGAACTATGTTTAGGAGTTTTCAGCCTCCTGTCACTGCTGCATATTCTGGTGGTGCTGAGGCCCACCTATTCTCCCCAGAAGAGCTTCCCCATTGGCAACAGGGTGCTGTAGATCACATTATAACATCTTTTCAGGAAGGAAGCAGTCCTCACACAGGAAAACATGGCATCTTTCCTTCTTTCTTCTTCTCTTCTGTTTCTTGAAGGGAGGAGACTCATCAATGATTCCTTCATATAATCTATCAGAATGCAAGACACTGTTGATTAAAACATAAACCAAGTAGCCCTGATTTCAGAGAAATGGAATTAAGAATAACATTTTCAACAGCGCCTTAGCTTGCAAGGTAGCTTTGATTACAAAAGGAAGTCAACTCCTTTTGGCTACCTGTCAGAAGAGAAATCATTTCCATTGAACTAGAAATGCTTAGCTCTTATGAGAATATTGTGCTTTTTTTTTTTAAAAAATTCAAATGTTAACTTGATGTGTAGTCTATGTCCTAAGATATTAATTTGTTTTTTCTCTAGTCCACTTGATCATGGTTTCTGGTGAACGGTACAGGAATATTAATTTGGCATAGAGATCTTCCTCTAGTTCCAGTTCTCCTGTCTCTCGAACTAAAAAAATATCGGTGCACAACTTCAAAATTCGATCCACATTTGGAAGCTCTTCAAACATGATGGAGTGAGAAATTCCACTGAAGAACTCACGGACAAACTTCCCAATCACCAGAACAACTGAAGCATATAATCCCATGATACTGAAAAAAAAAAAGTAGAAATTGTATCTAGCAGTTAAAAATGGTTAATAGAATGTGCCTAAAAGAAAAACATAACATTTTCCTTCAAAATCCATAGAAAATATGATTAAGTTACCAAAGATTAAAGTTTTTCCATTTGGTGAAAACATTTACTTTTTTCTGATAAAAAAGTTAATTTATGTTCTCTTTTAAACATTTACACATTACAGAACTGTAAGACTTACCCATAGCCAGCCAGGAAGCCCAGACTCGGAGGGCTGACTTTGTCATTGAAGACCACCAGCTCTAAGGCCTGGGCTTTCTGATTACACAGTCTATTTCCAGTCAGATTGAGAACCCACCATTCACTGTTAGATTTAGTTGTATTATCTCTGTACAAAATGATGGTGACATTCATGAAATTATTTTCTGGAGGAAAAGAAAAATGAAATCAAGTTAGCATAAGAATTTTAGGATTTAACGCATGTCAACTGTCTTCAGATGGCAAACCTGATTCCTGTCCATAGCATATGGTTTTGGATGCACATATGAACACGTTAGCAGTGGAAGTAGAAAATAAAGAGTGGACTGTAGGTATGCATGGGGTTTCTGTTTTTTATGAAAGAGGTCAGTCACTGTTGCTACATGTTACAAATTATCTTTGCTGATAATTCCAAACAACTAATTAGACATTTAAAACCCAAGTCACTGACTCTTGATTGAATTGACTGTTTCGCTCATATTACAACATTTGAGTGTCTTCTAAGAAGAAAGTACTCTGTTAGGTGTTAAGGAGTTGAAAATTTGCACACAGCATGGTTCTTTATTTCAGTGGGAAAAGGCCATGCACACAAGCACAATTTATGGGCATATGGCAACAATAATAAGACCTGCATTTAGAAAGGTCTGCTAGCTTGGAGACACCTCTTTTGGTTGGTACAACCTATGAGGGCTTCCTAGGGGAGATGACTTCTGAGCTGACTTTGGCTGAATAAGAACTTCAGTAGGTGAAGATAGAATGGGGAGAGGAGACCCTTTCAGGCAGGATTGATGGCATGAATCTGCTAATTTCTGAAAAGCCAGAGCGAATGGTCAGTGACAGCATAAGGTGAATGTAAAAGAATAAGTAAAAGGTAGAGTAAACAAAAAGCTCAGAGCTATGTTGAATGTAGACCCTATGGTGGTCTTTTTAAGAAGAGGCAGACCTTGCCAGTGATAGTAGGGCCTCCACTGAGAATCATGGTGGCGGACTATAAACACTGTGAGGGCAGGGACAATATCTACATTATTTCATGCTATATTCCTAGATCATAGGAATCTAGGACAATGTCTGACAATAAACATCTGTTGGATGGATGGATGAAAGAAGAGTGAGGAATGTAGGAGATTGGTAAAAATACAGTCCATACCCAGGAAGAATGTGAATTACTCAAAACACTCAGCAATAGGAAGAGTCTTGGTTCTGAAGTCTAGAGACAGATCTGAGGAGAAAATCTAGCCCTGGGCCCACATAGGCCCAGGTTTACTACTTGCATAAACTCAGCTGAATATTTCATACCTGAGCTTCAGTTTCCTCCCTGGTAAACTAGTGATAACCATCAACTTCTGCTAAATATACCTTCTAGTCAAGATTAGAGATAACTCAGTAAAGCTCATCAAATAAGCAGTTATTTTGTTATGGGCAGGATCTGAGAATACCAAGGCCATGAGGTCAGGTTAGATGGCCAAGACTTCACAGGCTGGAACTCAAATCACTGCCAGGCAGACAGGTCAGTGTGGAGAGAGAGAAAGAACCCAGAAAAGAGGACGGGGATAAGCCCCCTCTCTGAAGGCAGGAAAGGGACAGGGTCTGAGGCATAGGGAGAGGCTGACCTTGGAAGGGAGCCAGGAAATGTATTTCTTTGAGTCTGAAGGGAAAGAAGAAGGAAAGTATGAAAATATAAGATGTTTTTCTGAGAAGCAGAAAGAAATGAAAGGAACTCCACTCTGGAAGGCAACAGGAGGGAAGAGCCTGCTGAAGAACAGAATTCTTTCAGAGAACGACTGATTGTTGAACCATCTGTCTTCTCAGATTAAACATTTCTAAAACTGGTCTGGATTGAAAAGGAAATACCAAAGTTTTCAATGCATCTTGTAATTACCTTGTAAGATGTACTTACTTACTGTTGAAGAAGAAAAGCCTGTAGGTGTGGGATCTGGCTGGCACTCATACTCCAGGCCCTGTAACCTGCCTCTATCCCTGGCAATTTCCATGGGGGAATCTGATTACTTACTTACATCCCTATATTTCCAGTTAAACATGAGCCACACAGAGCCTGGTGACAGTGGCTACGGCAAATGAATGAACATGAACTGAATACTGCATGTCCTCTACCATGACCATATGTATACAGTTACTCTGGCTTAGGTAATTGATTAAGTCAAACAATGTTTGATTGTTAAAGGAATCCAGAAACATCAGTTCACTTCCATCATGTTTGTATGGGGAAAGCATAGTCCCTTGAGCACTACTGCTGATATTTAATCAACTGTGGGCTGAATCAAATACATTTCCTGCAATCTTTTCATTGTTCCTATTGTGGTGCTTTCATATTTAACACTGTATGGGGCAGCTTTCTATACAGATATGGTTGCTAATAAAAATAAACAAACAGAATGATTAAGCAGTAACATAAGTCACTAAATGTGAATTTGAGTCAATCAGGTTCTATATCAATAAAAAAAAAAAAAAAAAGAAGAGAAAGACCATGGCTCTCAGGTGAGTGAATGATTCCTCTGGCCAGGGAAGCCTTCTGCTTCTTGTAAACCATATCACACAGGGAAAGAAAATTGGGAAGTAGCTTGATAAAGGCTGAAAAATGCAAACTGTAGAAGTTTAATAAAAGAAGGTTTAAAAAGATTTCTGAAATTATTCCTTCTTATTCTTACCAGATAAAAGTTGCTTTATAGGTTTGGAGTTAGAATCACTAGGTGCTTTTACGTAATATGGGTAGATCCTTTCTATAGTCCTGTGCATTAAAAAAAAAAAAAAAAAAGAAAAGAAGAAGAGGTAATTAAGTTTTAGTTGTTTTACCCACATAAAATTGTTGTTTTGGTTGCTATTTTGACCTTATATCAAACAAACAAGGGTGAGAGCCTTCATATATCTATTCAATGTGTAGTCATTAGAATTTATGGGTTTCCATTATAGTCAGAGTTCTCTTAAGCCAAAAAAATTCACTGGGTTCTATCCAGATACTCAAATTAATGCTATACATGAGCTAGTTAATGCTTCAGAACTACTACAGAGATTTTCCCTTATCTGCTACTGTTTCTGAAGCAAAGGGCTGTCTCTATGATTTGTGTCAATAACATTGAGTGCTCTTCTAATTCTAACTTTAAGGACTTTAAAAGTATCTATAATCAAGTGGGCTGCATTTGATTAAGTGATAAGAGTGAGGTGTGAGGAGAGTACTGGTGACCTGGACCTCATCCTACCTCTGCAGGGTGAGCTGGGTGACCCAAGAAAGTTATGTCATCCTTCTAGGCCTGTTTTGTAATTAGGAAGCAGTGGGGGCAGGGGCTTAATTTGATGATCTTCAGGGCCCTTCCATTTTAGTTATTAACAAAGGATATTTCAGTTAGGACTATGTGTGAAGGCTGCATCATGGTGTTTTTTACATTCAACACATGACAATGGGGTCAAGGCAGACTGGAGGGCAGAACTGGGAAGTAAATAGCTGGTGGACATCTGAAATACTTCATTTAGCAATTTTAGACCAACTGCACTTTTTTTCTCTTGCTAGCTCTTATATTAGAATCTAAACATCACAACTGGGATGTGTTTGAAGTGGAGTACTTATATGGCAGGATTATATGTTAAAATGTAGTATTTCTCTCAATTTCTGTTTACCGTCTGTCTTCTCCTCACCTCCCCCCTCTCTCCCTTCTCATTAGCTAGGCATTCAGAGGCCCTGCCGCAGGAGTAATAGCAGCCAAGGGGGCTTTCAGGGTCTTTCCTTGGCGTTTGGTGATTATGATAATATAACAGCAAGGCTTCCTGTTTGGAGACAAGAGCAATATTCCTTAGTTGGGTGGACAGAGAGTGAGAAGGGAGAGAATAGAGCTGCTTTTCTAGCACAATGAGGCCTCCAAACAGAAATTCATTTGAGTTACCAAAGAATGATAAAGAATGAATACCTTTGAATTCATCACATAGGCAGAGATTCTGCACCAGATACATACACCTATTAAAGCTATATTAACAGGAACAATCAACTTACACTGGTGTCTTTGAACTTTCTGTGTTGTCATCACCTATCATTTTAGCTATATTCTCTCGTGTAGTATTTTTAAGAGGAAAAGAGAGCTTATCTGTTGCTATTTCTGCTTTTGCACCCAGACTCATGTTTCTGTAAAGAAAAACAAAAAACTGAATTTCAGTGATTATTCAGAAGTCTGGAAGAAAAAGTAAAACTCACTTGACTCTTAATTTTATTAATCTCATCAAGGTTTTATTGGGTCTACAACAGTCAACCCCCACTCTTTCTGTCTACCTCACCATTATGTCCAGTTTCTTAGACAACCAAGTTGATAAAACTTAGGGAGGTCACGAACACTTTTAAAATAGATGGCAGGTGAAAAGGCACAGTCTCCTGACCAAAAGAGAAACCATCCTACTGCTCTGATATGAATTTCCTGAACTCTCTATATTAATCCAATGAAGTTGGCCTTCATGGTAACAAATAGAATCCACATTTTAAAATAATGTCCCATCAGAAGTTGATTTTTAATGTTGTTTTTTGGTAGCTCTTCAAAGAAAGGCTAATAAGTAAATTTTTTGGCAGTACAGAATTCCATGCGAGGAGTTTGGGCATTTAAAAGGAGGAAATAAGATTAAAGGAGGTCTTTAAGTTCTGAACTGCCCCCTTTGAAATATTTCTTTACTATTTCCTCGCGAATTCACTTTAGATTCTAGAAGGCTTTCTTCTGTACCTATCACACACAAGTCTTTTTAAAATTTAATCGTTATTGTATTTTTTTCCCATTACCCTTTAGTCTTCTTACACCCCCCTCTACCCAGCGATCACCACATTGTTGTTCATGTCCATGAGTCCTTTTTCCTTTTTGCTCAATCCTTCCCCCCACCCCCACTAGCTGTCACAATTAATTACATCCAAGAAGCGGGAATTGTGGAGCCCAATGAACCTAAAACCTGACTGACAAACTTGTGTGGAGTCCTGAGTCACAAATGTGATGAAAGAAACCAAACTAATCAGCTGGTATATTGTGTCGCCTGAGCTGCTTCAACTACATGCTACCGGTTTTAGGATGCAAGAACTTTTACTAAGATATGCTTTGTCTGCATGAGTGAAGTAGCGGCTGCATGCTGGCCATTGGCTCAGGTTAGGTGAAGAGCAGTTTCCCTCAGCTATCCCCTCCTGGGTCCACCAAGCTGCTTGCACACTTCACACTTGGAGAAAAGATCTACTAGCGCTCCCCCGATGTTGGAGACATGCAAGTGAGCAGCCAGGGTTCCAGAGGCTGCATGTTCTTTATTTTTATGACTAAACTTCAACCTTTCAGGGGAATCTTACAATATACCCAGACTCTGTTTCCTTTTATGAATCATTATCTTCTTTTCTTTCTACTTTTCTCTCTTGTTCACAGAACTGATTTCTAGCCTCTCTTCAAAATGGAACTTAGTAGTAAAAAGGAAAAGAAGTCCTTAGATTTGCCAATGATTCCCAGGCAAATCATTTTTAATAAACAAAAATGTTAGCTGTAGCATTGAATGAATGTTCTCAAAATATAATGTGAACTAAGATCCACATTAATTTAATTTTTCTATCCTCTTAAAACCCCCACCCCACCCCGAGTTTAATTAGGGAAAAGGGGACAATATGCATGGAAATACAGTAACTACCTCTGAATACTCCATGAAAAAACAACAGGGAAGGTACTATTGAGGTTGAGGAGATTCTCCATCATTTTCTTTTTACTGGGAGGGCTGATGGTCCACAAAGAGTTTGAGTTTCCTTCAAGTTCTGCTACTGTTATGTCTTCTCTTTCATAATTTTCCAGAAATTGCATAGCACCCTATATGTACACAAATACACATTCATACATAGATCACATACATGATGATGTACAAAAAAGTCATTACTTGTCCTTTCAACTGGCTGTATGGAAAGAATTTCTTCCTATTAAAGGAACATTCCTATAATGGATTATTTTGGTCTTCCATGGCACTGACTGTTACCCCACCCACAGGTCTGGGCTGCTACCAGTGACATCATCAAACCCAGTGGTGATGCTGCCACACCAGTACAGCTATGGAACCATTCTAATTAAACAGTGAATAAAAATCAGATGATGTCATGTCTTTTTTCCTTCTCACTCAGGAGAAAATCTATCAACTATTGGGAAATGTCCCTCTCATGAGAGTTAAATTTCATCCACTCAGGACACCCTGGCCCTGTCTTCCTAACTGTTCATCCCTCAAGGTGGGTTTTGACAGTGTGCATTACAGACCAATAATTTTACAAAAGAGAAAAGCTTCTGTTTGCTTAATCACTTTTTAAAAATTAAATAAAGTTATTATTTGTAAAACAAATTTTAATTATGAAAAATTATGTTATAATATTATTAACAGTTGGAATGTAGGGAAAAGAATAACATTAGCCACAACTTTGCTACCAGAACATTATTGTTGTTTTATGCAGTAGGGGATGCATACCTTATTTTTTATCATTGAAAAAATTCTAAATCCTTTTTCATTTATGTTTCATATTCAGAAATTTTCATGACATGTATAGTCTTTGTAATGATTATTTTTTATTACAAAAAAACTTGCTTGGAAAATATTCAGACAACATAGCATGTAAAGAAATATGAAGTGGAAGCCTTGTCTACTGTGGCAACCTTAGGAAAGTTAGTGCTAATCAAATTCACTTCTTGCATATACCATGACTTATTCAACCAGTCCCTTTTGGTAACTCCTCAAGTTGCTTCCAGTTTTTACTAGTACAGGGAATGTTATCAGAAGTAGCTACTGACATAGTGCTTTTCCCATATTTTGAACTTCTTTAGGACAGAGTCCCAGAGTGGACCCACCAGGGAAAAGAACCAATATTGCCACAATTTTAAAAATTAAAACATTTTTGAAAGGATCAATACCTGTTGAACTTACATGGAAATGTTCTGAAATAAAATTAGCTTTATTAGCACTTACATCCAATAATATAGACACAATGTCTTAGATTATCAAAGCAGTCAGTAGCTAGGAATCTTCTGTATACAATTGATAATCTCTGATGAGCCCTTCCCCCACCACACATAGATGAGGACAAAGTAGTAAGTAATAGGGCACCACTCGCTCACCTAGATGAAAGGTCTTCATAGAGATCTAATGTATGCATTTACTTACAGTGTCCCTAGAGAAAGCTTTTATAAATCTATCAAACTCTGGCTGGTCCATAGTTTTCAGCTGGCTTTGCTGGGCACTCATTGTGAAAATAGGCTGTAAAACAAGATACACAGTATTGTCAATATTCCAAAGCTCTTCTCTGCATCCTGGGTTAAAGGAAAAATATTTGCATAGTCTGTTACCCACTGAATACTCAGTGGTATCTAGCCTCAGAGATCTCTTTTTGAATTAACTATTCTTGCACTCAAAACCAGAACAGAACTATTCTTTCATTACCTTCTGTATCTTATTTCAAATGTCACATATGTGCTGAGAAGTCAAAATTTAGATAGGAAATATGGACTGGCAAAACTTAACTAAACATCCTGTAGGTGATTATCAGGAAAGGAGTGCATTAGATAAAGTACTTGCAGGTGAATGAGACCTGGAGGACATGCACAATGATTACCTGGTAACCTCCCAGAGTAATTGTGACTGAGACATCCAAGGGCTTGTTGATCACCCCAGCAACAGATTTGATCAAAGACATGAAGAGAAGAGGAAACCAGACAATACAGATGAGCAGAACGATGATCATGCCTCCCATGCCATACTTCACCACTTTCTTCTTCTTTTGTCCCCGGGGCTGAGGGTATCTCTGTAATGGAAGAGTTTACACAAGGATCAGTCCACCATCCACTGAAAAGGAGATGGGGAATGTGAGAGCTCTTCCCATGGGATTGTGACTTGATTTAGTCCTGATTCTGCTCTTTTGCTCTGATGTGGGGAGAGCAACCCTTCCCAACCTGGGAACAAAGTTAGGCAGTGACATGAAGCTGTAATGAACTCCCTACCCATCCCCACCATGGTGCCAGTGGGGACCAATGGCACCTGAGTGACTGTCTCCTTAAAATTGCAGCGTGAGTTTTGCTAGTGATGAACCTAAGAACCAACAGATCAAATACTCTGCTGAATAAAGCCTCTGGTTTTATGAGATCATGTGGGAGAAAGACATTTTACTTTAAATTTCTGAGAATTCAAAAGCTGCGCCTTTCAACTGACCCCTTCTTCCCCTTGGTGGGTAGAAAAACATTTTTCACATCATTCATCACATACATTGTCAAAACAATGTTGTTAACATCATGCAATAAGATCTGTACGGCCAACAATCTTGGTCGTGTAACTCTGCAGGGGCCCGTGCTTGGGTGCTGTGCTGAGCGGGTCAGAGTAGGGGGTGGTGGTAGGTATGTGTATATCACACAAGGCACTTGCTCCTCTACAAGAGCAGTGCACTTGGTAGGGCTGGAATCACTCCCATTCATTTTACCAAGGACCCACTAAGCTCTGTCTTAGAGGCTATGGGCAAGGTGAAGGAGCCAGCTTTACTGCCTGGTATTAAAACTGCTCCAGCTCTATATGAACATTCCTTGCTTATGTGTTGCTTCCCAGTGACCTATTTTCCTTCCAGGATGACCTCTGAAGTTAAGCTAGGCTACACACATACTGGAGCAATTGTGCCTCCTCCCAAACCTGGGACTAACACTCTCTTTGGATGTGTTCCTTTCAGTAGGTTAAGGTAAGGAAAAATAATCCACATTCTACCTGTAGGCACTGAGCTCTGGGTTACAAACTAAGAGAGAGGCCTGGAAGCCAGCAGATGCCTCTCTGAGGACTTTAAAGAACACTGCTGAAGGAAGCTCACACTCAGTGATTCCTGACTATGGACTTGGAAACACAATAACATGTGCTGGACTGGAGGTTGGATCATAACCAGTATGGAAAGCTTTGTTTACTCAGTGTGAAAGGGCATGCTTCTAAGTGAGTCTGTACTGTGAAGTTGCATGAAGTTCAGATTAAGGGCAGTATTCAGGACTTCCCTTCTCTTCTCTCCCCACCCTGCTCACCTCTCCATGCATTCCACGGGGAGAACAGGGCCAAAACCTTTGGCCTCTCACTAATTATGAGGCTATTTTTTCCCTTCACTTTCCAAGGAACTGTCACCTTCTTGTCTTATGCTGCTCCATCACCCCTTTCTATGTGAGCCAAGTCTCATTCATTTTTCTCAGTTTGCAGTTCCTGTCATGTTACATTTTCGAACAGCTTCTTAAATGTGTTTGGGAGGGTGGCTGCATGGAAATCACTGTGAAAAATGACTCAGGGTGAGTGGCCTGCATTGTGTGTGTCATGACAACATTTGGTCTGTCAGAAAATTGTTTTTTTTTCATAAAGTGCATTGATAAAACCCCAGGAACATATTACATTTGATATGGAATAATCCCCAAGAAAAGTTGCTTTTAAGAAAAGCTTACTCTTATGCTTCAGTCTAGTCAAGTGATCATCACTGGTGATGTTTCAGCCTCTTATGGAATGAAGTAGAAACCAGTGTCAGATTCATTTAGACTCCCTAATACTTGCTTCCCACATACCTAAATTTCTCAGGATGTTTTACCATGTATGATTTAAATAGCCATAGACTTAATATAAAATAGAAGCATATATTTAAGGAGAAGTGATATATTAAAATGAGGTTTTTGTTTCTTTTTTTTAAATTGAATTTATTGGGGTGACATTAGTTAATAAAATTATATAGGTTTTAGGTATATACTTCTATAATACATCACCTATATATTCTATTGTATGTTTACCACCCCAAGTCAAGTCTCCCTCCATTACCATTTATCCCCTTTTTTTTCTCTTCTATCTCTCCTCACTTCCCTTTCCCCTTTGGTAATCACCATAGTATTGTCTATGTCTATGAGGTTTTATTTTTGCTTAATCCTTTCACCTTTTTTACCTAGCTCCCCTCTGCCCCAAGGCTCCCTCCCCTCTGACAGCTATCAGTCTGTTCTGTGTATCTATAAATCTATTTCTGTTTTGTTTGTTGGTTTATTCTGTTCTTTAGATTCCACATATAAGTGAAATCATATAGTATTTAAATGTCTTTCTCTGACTGACTTATTTAACTTAGCATAATAAATTCCAGGTCCACTCATGCTGTCATGAAAGGTAAGGTTTACTTCTTTTATATGACTGAATAGTATTCCATTGTGTGCATGTATCACAGCTTCTTTTTCCCTCTTGTCTATTGATGCACACTTTGGCTACTTCCATATCTTGGTTATTGTAAACAATGCTTCAATAAACATAAGGGTACATATATTCTTTCAAATTAGTGTTTTGGGCTTTTTTCAGATATATTCCCAGAAGAGAAATTGCTGGGTGTGGTTTATATTTCTTAAAGATAAAATAAAAAGGGTAAAAGGATGATTGCAACTCTTGCTGTGCAGAAATGTCTACTGTTCTGGGTCAGCATGACCCTGTCCTTTATAAGAAGGATGGCAATAGGTATGACTGTCTTACTACAGTCTCAGAAAGGTTGTTACCTGTTGGCTCAAAAGCAGGCAAATCATATATAAGTTGATAAATAGCGTAGCCACAGCTGTTCACATGAAAAGTGTCCCTGTACCTATGTGGGACAGTTACTTGAGCTCTGATTCAGAAAAAACATCCCTCTTAAGAGCTCCTCTCCTTTTGACCCAGACGAAGCAATCTCTCAATTTCTGGGCTCCTTTAGGTAGGCTCTGGGACTTGAAGTGTTATCTCTCTTGCTCATGATAGATGAACTCCTTTCTGGAGAATACAGGCTACTGAGCATGAGCATGCATTTGTTCACTGATTATCTCTCTTTCTCCAACATTCTATAGGATAGCCGTTCTGCTTTGCCACTCTCAACTTGTCCATCCATGCCTCTGAAGCTACTATTTTCTAGAACCTCATCTAGGCCTTCTTCTTCAGCTCTGATGCTAAGGATTTGTACTTTTCTTTTTCCTAATGGTCCTTTCCTTACCATCTGAGAGAGGTTCAGATCCTCTCCATTCTGAAATGACTCCCTTGACTTGTCTCTCTTAAACTGACTCTCTCCCTTGCCTTTCCCTTGTCTGTGCATGGTCCAGCAAAATGACAGTGACAGGAGTGATCCCAGGCTAGACTGCCTAGTAGCCCCTCCTCAAACTGTGGATCCACAGAACTGTGAGCAGATCAAATGGTTGTTATTTTAAACCACTAAGTTTTGAGGTAGTTTGTTATTAACAATAGGCAACTGATATAATACCTATTGAAGGAATGGTTCCAGGAGGAAGCCTTGGCTCTTCTCAGCACAGAAGTTTTGTAATATAAATTTTCCTCTGTGCGACTTTGTGTGTATGCAGGCACCTCTTAGTGACCACCCTGTAAGGCAGCCCCTCTATGATTGTTAGAAGGATCTTTATGCTCTATTGAAACTTACCAGAGCTTTTGCCTACTTTTCTTAATATGGTTTTTTTTGGATCTTACAAATTAATTCAAATTTTAAAATCTATTTTCCAATATTTGAAAGTGTGTCACCCCATTTATTTTTACTTCAGAATGAACAATTCTTGAGTCTTCCTACTTCATATGCCATGATTTCTAGACCCTTTGTCATCCTGATTCTGCTCTCAATGTCCCTTTGGTAGATTGGCTCTCATATCCTGTCATTATAGCAACTCTTTTGCTCTTAAAAATCCAGAGAAGCTACAATGATTTTAAGTATACTGCCAGCCCATCTTCTCCACTCCTATGAACCTCCAAAACACAGAAGCCGCAGTACAATGGGTCCCACAACTATAAAGCTGAAATTCACAGAAGAAACTGAAGAACATAGAAATTATAAGGACTAGAGGGAACTTTTCCAAAGAGGGTATCATGGAGATGAGCAAAAAGACATTTCATGCCACCTCAGCAAATGATATAATACGTGAGTATTTTTTATCGCTTTTATGTAACAGGCTCCTGTTTCATATGGTAAACTTGAAAAACCAACAAATAATTGTAATTCTATCCATATTTACCATAACATTCAACCTAGAAGAATGATCAAATGTTTGCACTTTAGTTTCCTTGGCACAAAGCAGTTACATTGTCTCTCATCCGAGAGGACATCAGGTGGTGACCCTGAGTCCAAGCCACCTGACTCCACTTTTCTCCAGCAGAGTACATTCTCTCCTGTTCCCAAATGAGCCATTTGAGAATTATTGGGTCACACAGCAATATATCATTTCTTCTTTTAAAAGCAACTACAATATACAGTTGCCAAAAGAAGAACACATCTGGATGCTATTGCTAAGGCAGTAGTGTGTTCAAGATTCACAACTCCAGTGGGGTGAAAGTCAATAGGATATTTATAGGCCCTAATAATTTTTGCCCCTGTCTCCATTTATTTGGCTACAAGACTTGCAGAAGTTCCCATTAATCATATAAGCAGCCTGTATCTAAGAGAAACAAATAGGGATAAAGCATTTTGTTGGCTTACTTTTTCTGACTCCCGCCAACATTTCAAGATGAATATGTGAGCATAGATATCCTCTACACAGATCCAGCTGGAGAGGCTCAAGGTTGTGTCTGTCCACACCCAGTCCATCACAGCCCTTAGCTCAGTCAAAAATGGAACGAGGCGGAACCTGGTGGAAACCATGTCTTGTTAGAGAGACAGTTTTGGGATTGTCCCCCCAAACCCAGCCAACCCTGAGAACTCATGCAGTTCCTTATTATTTTAGACCTTAAGTCATAGAAAAAAAATTCTCAAGGTGACCCTTATGGGAAAATTCAACTTGGAATACAACTACTTTTCATTACAAGTCTAATAAATTGATTGGTATTTTCCATTCCTTTTTTTTTTTTTTTTTGGCTGATGGTCTTAAAAAACTGGGATTCCCTTCTTAAATTTTTAATGGTGTCTTATTCAATTTCTTTTATAAGAAATTGTACAAATCTTTCACTTCTTTGGTTAAATTTATTTCTATTTTATTGTTTTTAATATTGTAAATGAAAAAACTTTTCTTTTTCAGATGTTTCTTTGTCAGTGTATAGAGATGCAACTTATTTCTGTAAAAGGTTTGTCCAGAAGATATCCAGCCATGTAATATGAAAAACAGAAACATTTATTGAAGAAAATACAAGATACAAGAAGCATTGTACTTAAGACAATGATGCCTCAGTTCCCTTCAAAGTATGCATCTTGGAACCTCACATAGTTCTTCCTGTTGCCATCAGCTACCCCATTGGATTTTCCTGAATCTCATCGATGATCTGAAATCTCTTCCCTCTCAAATTTTAGTTTTGGGAAAAGCCAGAAGTCATAGGGCACCAAATCTGGGCTGTAGGGGGCTGAGTCACTTGGGTGATTTGATGTTTCACCAAAAAGTTCTGCATGAGACATGATGCATGAGTGGGTGCATTGTCATGATGAAGTTGCCAATCACCAGTTGCCCATAGCTTCGGTCTTCAGAATCATCCAAATAGTTTCCATGGAGGAATGTTCAAGCTTAATGCAAAATTTGATGCAGATTTGTTGCTCTACTCACTCATTAATTTTGAATGAGAGAGCCACACAGTGCACATGCTCACTCTACAGTGTCTACTGCTCTCACTGACTAGTACAGTGAAGTTATCTTCGTTCATGAATGCACATTCCAGTCCACACTCCTTTGCTGCTAGGTTACATCAATGTTGTGCAAATTGCAAACTGTTCTCATTAGATTAACAATGGCTGGGCTTTTTCCAGACAGATCTCGTATGTTGATATCATGTTCTACAATTCTATTGAATTTGTTGATTAATTCTAAAGTTTTTTGGAGTGAGTTTTTGGTATTTTCTATATATAAAACCACATCTGAAAATAACTACAATTTAACTTTTAAAAACATTTATTTGTTCATGTTATAAGAATCTGTTCATCATAGGGTTATTGAGTTGTTGGGGATTTGCTGTTGAATAAGCTAGGAAAGGTAATACACCTGTTAAGTGAAAGATGAAAGCAAGTGAGAGCCATCAAAGGGAAGAAACATTCCACTGGGGGTGTACAGTATGGCCCACAGCTGGTAGAATTAATGGATGAATAAAGCGAAGACTCTGGCTTAGTCTCTTATATTTCAGTTGGGAATGGGCTGGCATGATTTCCTCTGGAGTATGGGAAATGTTCCTGGTTTCTTGACTGACACAGAGCTTGTCCTAGGCTGGAGGGCCTGTGTCCCTCCAAGGGCTTCACGCCAGTTGGGTCACCACTTGGAATTCTCCCCTGGGCTACCCAGCTTTGTGGAGAGAGCACTAATTCAACCTCTTAAAGAACTATCAGGCTTCCACATAGGACAGCACTAAGCGAAACATTGTTCCACACAGGGAGGTTCATAACATTGAGTATGTTCAGCACCTCTTATATGACTAAGTACCTAGTCCCCAGGTCTGGTCCTAACTAGGAGCAGACTGACTTTTTATGCCATGGACAAATTTCTGAGGGAACAGAGAGGAGATTCTACCAATTGAATTCTCACATGGAATAGCTATATGCTTCCTCTGACAGCAAACTTACTACCAGGAATAAACAAGTCATAGGGCATTCACATTGATGTTAGGCAGAATAAGTGGCCCTTTCCAATGGATGGACTTACATGCAAAATTCCAAAGGCATTTGGGAATAGTCAAGGTTCCAAATAATATGTTCCGTTGTGCCCTGAAGCATATTAATACTTATGGATTATGTATCCCAAAATATTATCACATTAATTATATAGGATACATATGTAGAAAACCCATGTGGATGAGCCTAGCACAACATTCTGGCCAGGTTTGTGGTAACTACACATACAAAGGTATTTCAAGAAGCATGCCTATTCTTTGCTAAACACTGAGAGAATTCCACAATGATCTACATTCCTGAAAATCAGCATCCTTCCTCTTTCTGTTCCTTCCTAGGTAGGAAACAACATGTCTTTCAATTGTGAGCTTCCTTTTTGTGAGTGACTGCAACAACATAGTGTGTCCTTACCCTTGAAACAAGAAGAGGTTGACATAATTATAGCTCTTTGTGAGGAAGTTTCCAAGGACTCGTGTTGGGTAGCCACAACGGATTTGGTAGGCAGACAACCCGAAGTAAACACATTTCACAAAGTACCAAAGCTGAGCAACCAGGTTCTGGCTGAATTTCCTAAAATGTAAAAATTCAGAAAAGTGAGGGAATGGAATACTCCTCTTGTAAAACGATATCACTCTAGAATTTTTAAAAAGTCCTAATTCCTTCTCTAGCATTTCAGTTAATTCAGTTAATGCTAAGGAATTTATTAAACATAGATGGTCACTTCAAATGCCAAAGGTAGGTTAATAAAATCAAATAATTAAAAAATCCTATGAATGAAGTCTCTCAGGTATTAATGTATTAGTCAGTTGTTTAGGCTATAATTAAAATAAATTACTAAGTACATTTGCTAATAACATTTTCGCACAATGTGGGCTCTGCTGCTACCCTCGTTCTAATTAAAGCTCAACAAAGAAGAAAAGCAAAATTTACAACCATAGTGTTGTAAAGTTTATGAATGTCAGCATAAGTTTGAGAAGAAACAGTGGAACTAAATTTTGTATTAAAAAGAATGGAATACATTTTCAAAGAATGATGACCTATAGGACTTGTTTTTTTTTTTTTTTTTAACTTTGGATGAATGCATCATTCTTCAAGAGTCTTAAATATAGTCAGTACCGATTTTTAAAAGAAAATAAAACTTTGACTTTGTAATATCCATATATAATCTTGCCTGTGTTTAAGAGAAATACTTGATTTTTAAACTGGAAGCAGTGTATTATTCTTAATATTGTATTTTGGATTTGTCTTATTAATTTTTAATTTTTTATTAGAGGAAAATATATTATTTTTAAATTGGAAATAGCTAATCTTTAGTTGACAAGATCCAAGAACAAACCAGGGATGAATTGGCTTATATATCTGGGAGACCTAGGGACCTATAGATTTCAACACCTGAAGAACTAAAAAATATTGCTTATAAATGTCTCCCCCATAGAAAAATACAGATTTGTTTATTTCAGAACCTAATGAATTAATTTAACTATTTATATTTGACCATGATCTAGCACTTGACAAGTTATTATTAAAAATATCAGATATTTAGAGAGTGCTTACATCAATTATTCATTCCCTCACTCTTTCTAGAAACTGTCTTTGTTGTTGAATATTCAGAGAAAATATTTTTTTAGTTTTCTAGGGAAATGCCCTTAGATTTTATAAGTGATTGATATGGAAATGGTATGGGAAAGAATTCTTCTATACCTATTAAAGTTATAGTCCAAGATATAAAATTTTGTTGCCTTCTATTCCTTATGAAAGCACTGACACATATTTTACCCATTAGATAATTTTTTACTCCTAGAATCTTAAAGTGTGTCAACTTGGAATAAGTAGTAGTTAATCTATAGTTCCTGAAGTAATCATGTTAAACCTGACTAGGGATATTAATGTTGTCTTATACTGGAAGACTTTTTTGGTGGTCTCTACATGTTTTATTGCTAGAGGCTAGGGTCATCTCTATGACTCCCACAGTACCTACTTACTGCACAGTGCTTTCTAGGCTGCAGACAAACCCTGAATGTTTGTGGACTAAATAATGACATATCCACAGAAAAAGCCATTTATCAGATTAATTACTCAAGATATTGGAGCTTCTTGATGTTCAATACTATGATTTTCATCTATATAGCTTAAGAGACTCCTAACCTATTTTTCTTTTATTCTTTTTTTAAAAGGACTTAGAAAATATGGCTATTAATAAATGTTTTCTCTGCATAACAATGAATTAAATTTTCAATAACAACATTTGAAGAAGAAAAAATGAATTTTGGATGTTAAGTAATGGCAGCATAATTTGAAATGTCAAAAAATTATGTCGTCAGTAATATGCTGTCAATGAAGACTGGAGGTTCACCAGTCTTAATGTATCTTGAATTAAATACCCAAAAATAAACATAGGATAATCTGTTGCATTAGAAATTGGCCATCAGGTAGGGCTCAAAGGTGAGTCCAGCAGAGAAATAATCTGTGTGGCCATAGGTTTAGTGATCATCATAGTGCCATGAGCCCTGGGAGCCCACTATGTGGGCCTTCCCACATGGGGATGAGTCCATGCTGTATTCATGCTGATGTCATGCCCTTTTCACCCAGTCTACTCCCTTGGACATAGTAGGTGATCAATAAATGTGAAATTGAATGAATATACATGATTGTAAGTCACCACAGGAGAAGCTTTCATTTAATGAAGCATTATAACAAACACTTCCCCCTCATTTGGTTTGGAAGGTATTGTTGCCATGCTGTTAATTTCTACAAAAGCCTGGTAGAACATGTGCTGGACAGAATAATGGCACCTCTGCAAAGATGTACATGTCCTAGTCCCCTGAACCTCTGAATATATTACCTTATATGCCAATGAGGGCTTTGCAGATGGGTTTAAAGTTAAGAACCTTGAGATGCAGAGAACAACCTAGATTATCCAGGTGGGTGCAATCTAATCAATAAGTCCTTAAAGGGAAAGAATATTTTTCAGCTGTGGTCAGAGGGAGATTTGATAACAGAAGGGTCAGAGAGGTGTGATGAGAAAAGAACTTGACTCTTTGTTGCTGGTTTTGAAGATGGAGGAATGGGCCATGAGTCAAGAAATATTGGAACCTATGGAAGCTTCTCCCCCATAACCTTTCCTTTAAAAAGAAGTGCAGCCTTGCCAATACCTTGCTTTTAGTCAAGTGAGACCTGTGTCAAACTCCTGACCTACAAAATTGTAAGATGATAAATTTGTGTTGTTTTAAGCCCCAAGGATGTGTCAATTTGTTCCAGCAGCAATAGCAAACTAATATAGGCAGGAACAATGGAACTATTTAGTGATTTGATCCTGCTAACGTGAATCTCTGTGCCTTCACCATTGCTGTATTTCTCGAAGCACTACTCTCTGTGGAGGCTTCTGTGGAAAGACGTAGCAGAGATCAGTGCTCTGGGGCTCTGGGGCTCTCTTCTGGGACTGCAATAGTCAAATCCTTTGATAATGAGCAATGAAACAGTAGGCTTTGTTATTTTAAAAGATATGCTTGAAAGTAAGTACAGGATGCCTCCCATGAGGGGAGGAGTGTAGTACAGTAGGTGCAATGTACAGTAGGACCAATGGGCCTAGGACTGGAATCTGGTCTCATCAATAATTAGTTGAATGACTGCAGGGAGATCAATCTTCTGTATGAGTTTTACCTATGTTAATCTGTAAAATTACACAGTAGGTCTAGAAATCTTTTAGATCTCTTTGTCCTCTGAAAATTAGTTTCTATGAGGCCTGATAGAGAATACCTATTTGATGTTTTTAAATGTTGACATTCATCATCCAGCTATTATGGGAGTTGAATTTGGTATATTTCTCTGAGTTGAGAGATAGCTATAACTAAATATTTATAGAGAATTTATTCTATTTTAAAGACTAATAAATAAGATTCCCTACATTTTCATGAGCAAATTCTAATATTTTTACAGACTGCTTGCTTTAATTTGAATTACTTTTATCATATGAGATATGTTTATTCTCCCATACAGTGTGGAACAGGAGACTTCCTGAGACATTGGGAGTTATCTAGGTAACAATCCTTTATTTAGTTAGTTCTACTTTAGACTCAAGAAAAATGATCTTAATTTCATTTTTACTTTTAAAATATTTTGCATTGCCACCACTTATTATTACAAAGCAATAATTTCTATGCTAAAAATAAAAAAGAGTCTAAACATTCAGGTAAGAACAGACATTTAGCTCCAGCATCATTAGAACAGATTTGGATTTCCTCATTAGGAATTACATTTGGACCAGCTTATGAGCCACGCAAGTAAAATCCATTTTTCACTACTTTCTATTCACACTTCCAAAAAAAGTGGTATTAGCCAGCCTCATTGACAAGTGATTCATAAAGCTTGGCTATGAAATGACTCTAATGTATAAGATCAAATTAATGTTACACATGAAAACTTTTAATGATGTGTTTGTTAAAAATATCATTCTTATTACATTACATGGACAATTCCATGTTCCCCTTCTGTGGACCCTTTATTTTCATAACTTAAGAGAACTGATAGTTCCTGTCTATAACTGTCTCCTTTACTTTTCTGTTATCGATCTGTTAATCTGTTCAAGCATTAAGCATCAGATTTGTCCCAAGAATTATTTTGGGTGGTGCATGGGGAGAGAAGACCTGGGAAAAGTGACATTATAACTGAGATCTAAAGAATGCTGAAGAAGAGGCACTGTGTGTTAGGGATGGGAGAGAAGGGGAGGGAGCAGAAGGGCTTTGAGGTTTGGGAGGACATGGTACCCTTGGTGACTGAATGAGGTCACTACAGAAGATGCTTAGGGTTCAAGATGATGGAGAGAAAGATGGTATTAGCAGCCTCCTAGGACCTTACCAGGACTTTTCTTATCAAACTTTAGGTTACTCTTTTTAAATCTCCCATGTCCAATCCATCTTGACCAGCAGCAAGAGTTGTGGTAACAGCAGCAGCACCATGGCATCATAGGCCTGCACTCTTCCTTCTCTATGTGCTGAGACTGCCAGCCGCTTTCCAAATGCTGTTACATTTGTCCCTCACTCATACCCTTTGTGGCAGATACTATATCATCTGCCCCTACCATCTTCTAGGTTTTCTTCTACCAGTTAAACAGCCTATATTTTTCTCATCCACTTCTCATATGATAGTCTCAAGTCCTCTCATCCTAAGACCATATCCCAATTCATTTCTGTATCCACTAAGGTAGCAATTTTCAACCTTTTTTCACCTCATGGCACACATAAACTAATTACTAAAATTTTGCTGCACAGCAAAAAAAATCTGTATTTTTTGCTGATCTGTCAAAATATTATCTATACTTTTGATTTGTTCACATCAGAGAGCCATTGCTATATTGGCAGTTGTCATTTTTTAATTTGACAATCAAACAGAAAAGAGATCAGTGCTCCTAACTAAACAGTCAGGCATTGCCCATTTTAAAAATTTCTGTGGCACGGTGGTGTGTTGCAGCACACTGGTTGAAAGTTGCTGTACTAAGGTGCAGAAACAATCACAACATAATGATCCTAGGTTTGCCCTGATCCTTAAGGTTGTCACCTCTCTTAGTCTTAAAACCCTGTTTTAATGAATACATACAAGCATGCAATAAAAATATTTTTGAGGAATCTGTTCACACTTTGGACTTACACTGAATTTAATAGTGGTTAAAACCTCTAACTTTTCCTATGTGTGAAGTTGCTTTGCCATACATCTGCCTGTACCTGGTGATTTTGCTGTGCTGATGCATAACCTTAGGAAATATATTTGCATTAAAGTGGGCCCATTGATCCTTCTAAGATCTTACCTCTCAGTCACACCAGGCAAGATGAAGAACATCCAGAAGTGAATTCCAAACACAAGAATGACCTGAAAAATGACCTTTCCCAATACAGTCTTCCTGAGGTACAGTGCTCGGTCCACCACCATGGTTCCAAACTGAATGAGGACCATCACCAGAAATGGCCCAGGGACTTGGTCCTCGGACAGTGAAGAGGTGATGTCTGCTGCTGCTGAGTGTTTCTGGGAAAGAGATAACAGGTTCAGGCCTGAGTGGCATTTCACAGAACAGCATCACTATTAGTCATCAGATGTATGGTGGCCTTTACCTACCCCAAAGGCCCAAAAGCCAAAGACAATGATGATGAAGTCGACAGTGTCAGCCAGGAACATAAGCACATACACGTCAGTCACGGCACTATAGTCTGGGTGGATGAGGTTGTAGAAAAACTCTCTGATGGGCACATATATTTGCAGAGTCCTGCAACACAGAGACCCCACCTGCTTGCTTCAGGAGAGGCACAAGTGGAGAAATGACCAGATATCACAATCATTCTGTTCCTCTGCATTTCTTTTTCAAGCCAGGTTGGACCTCCCTCTCTCAGTCTCACAACAGTTCTGCTGTGGGGTCGCTCCTGCTTTAACAGAGTATATACAAGTTCATTGCCAGGGCAGATACTATAGCCCTTTCTGCTGCTGGGACCACAAACCTTTTCTCTTGACTGCTATGTAATTGAATATATCTGATATAATGCCATGAAATTTTGGTGCCTGGTTTGTCACCTGATTACTCTCCACCTGCTAGAACTTAAACATGCTACTTAACCCTCCTTGTTTTAATTTTCTCTTCTGTAAAATGAAGGTGATAATAAGACCTGAGGCACAGGGCTGGGGTGAGAAATAAATGGGAATACATGAGGTGCTTAGATCTAAAGGGTTTCCCAGGCACCTGGTCATTGTTAGGCAACCCTGCTCCTCCCCTTTTTGGGTTCTGGGCCTCTCATGGTTCCCAGGTACTGCCTTGGGCTTTTGAGCTCACCTTGCTCTGTCCTTTGTTACTGTGTCCTCATGGCTCTGGCTTGTCTGTCCAGCCTCTTCCCTGTCTGTCCAGCCTGTGCCCTATCTTTACTGTGCTCTGGGTTTTGTCTTCAATTCAAGGCCATGGTTCAGGTGTGGATGACCCTCTAGGTTAGGGTCCATATTCAGGACCAGCCCTCTTTCATGTCCCTCTATTTTGCCACATCTGCTGCTTGTCTGCATCCCTAACACTTGGGAAGAACATGTGCATTTTGCTGGGGACCAACTATATGATAATGGGCACACCATTTTGCTACCACATGCCTCAGTTTCCCCTCTCTAGAATGAGAGTGTATGTCTAAGGCCCTTCTAGTTTTGACATCAAATTCCTCTCTGTCCAGTAGATGGTTCCATGATAATGTCTGGAATTACATACTGTGAACTTCTGAAATTATTTATCCTGTTTCAATAGAAAATGTGTTTATAAATGCAATGAATATGAAAATACATCTCATTATTGAAAAGTGATTTTTAAAAATAATATAATAATGTATCATTTTTTTCTCCCTTAAGAAGATGATATTTGTGATCTAAGGAGACACTTCCCTGTTCTTCACTTCTGGTATATATATAAAATAATTGTTATTGATTATTTCCCAAAGTTCCTCAGTCAAAAAATAAAACCCATAATGCAAGTGTTTGCATGCACTCACTTCTTTATGGTAAATGCTTTTGCTTTGATTAAATGTTCTTGAAGCTTTTCCATATAAAGTTCCTTTTTGCTTTTTTGCTTGATGCTCAAAACACTGCTTCCTTTTTGACTGCTGTTTCTAGTGCTTGTGCTGCCTAGAATAGAAATAAAACAAAAAACAAACCAAGATGCACCATGAGATCTGGGCTTATTGACACAGATATCACAGGAGCCCCTGGGCCCCACATGGCAGAGGGAAGCTGTTTCCGAGGGAAGAACACACACATTTGAAAGAATAGTGACTGAAAATGGGTATCTTCTCTCTCAACTCTGCTTCTGTGGTAAAACACATCTTTGGGTTTTTACACCCAATGCTCTTTCCTGGATTATTATGTGATCTTTGTCCCAGGAAGGAATGCACAGGAAGAACAGCTTTTATTGTACTAAATGGGGTCCTAGGTCGCAGGTTTTTCAGATTGGGTCCATGACCCATCCTTCTTCTCATGTCTCAATTTCTCTAACTGTAAAATTAACATAACATGACCTTCTAACATCTGCCCAAAGAGTAGATTCTGAAGATGAATATAGTTACACATCAATTAATGATGCATTAATTGGACATACGTTCTGAAAAATGTGTTAGTACACAATTTCATGTTTGTGCGAACAACATAGAGTGTACACAAATCTAGACGGTACAGCCTACTACACACCAAGGCTATATGGTAAACTACTGTTGTATATGCAGTCCATCATTGACTGAAAAGTCATTGTGCAATGCATGACTGTACACAAGTGTTTGGTAACTTTCTGAACAATAGACATTTGGAGCAACGGTGCAACTGCCCCAGGTGACACACACACACATGGCGGAGCCAGAATTTGAATTTGGGTCTGATTTCAAGGTGCTTTCTTTTCACATGACAGTATTTGTCTCTGATAGCGCCCAACAAACTCTCCTGTCCCAGACACACAAGCACCAGAAAAATGAGACAGCTCACAGGGTGTTTCTAGCCCAGAGATACCTCTTTGGGACCTATTTGAAGAAAAGCTGGTGGATCTGTAGGATATCTGGGAGCTGCTGCCAGAACGCTTCCTCCGGATGGCTGTCGGCTGCTCAGGGAAGGACACGTGCACTGACTCTGTGGATGCGGCCAAGTTGATGGATTTCAGGGAATCAGAGGAGGCCCTCCTGCCATGACTGGGGGACTGCTCATCATCTGATTCGTCCTTGTCGGTGCCATTCTCAGTCACGTCATCTTCGTCCCATAAGCCATGGCACTGAGAAAGCATGAAAAGGGGCAATTCAAGTTGCCTTTTCAAGTATGAACTGGTATTCTGCCCTACAATATCTCATGCAACAAACTCTCCCACAAGGTTAGAATATCAAAGGTAAAACAGAGTGACTACAGTTGGTAATACTGTATTATAATCTGTTACTCTGTAACTGAAATTTGTAAAGAGAGTGTAACTTAAAAGTTATGGTTAAAAAAAATTATTACGTGAAGTGATGAATGTGTTAATTAACTAGATGGGGCGATCCTTTCACACTGTATATACATTTATCTAATCACCACAATGTGCAGTTTAAATATTTTATAATTTTATTTGTCAACTGTATCTCCATAAAGCTGAAATAAAAAGAGATTAGAAAACCAAGGCAGGGGATGGATTCTATGAAAGCTTATTATCTATAATTTTATGATGGTCCCAGGAGAGTGGAGATGGGTGGGTGTAGATGATAAGAGTTTGTCTAATTAATTGGACGGAGAGAGATGAGGCTTGACATATGGAGAAAAGGTGAAATTATAATCACTTGACTTGTTCCTTAAGCAAAAGCACTTTCCAGAAACTTACATCTCTTTATGCTTTATGCTTACAATAGTCCTCCAAGTATCAACTCGAAGTATCAGTGGGTGAATTTAGCCCCACTGCCCCATGTTTACCAAATATCTGTACTTGAATAATGACGCTGTTATACAAGCCTGTATAACAAGATGTAAATTCTTGAATCGTCTGTGGCTGACTCAGAAACAGAGCTACAAATACTTTACTCAAAAAATCTTGGCCTACATGTGATATAGAGATTATGATGCATTCTGCAGAGCCTGAGTTTGCTTCAAGGAAGCAGGATTGAAGGGGCTGATGAAGAGGGGGAAAGAATGACAGCAGAAAAGGAGGCTGGGAAAACAGGGGTCTTGCTGGAGCAAGGTGCTACCTGGCCAGCAAGTCATGCTTATGATGACCTTGTTGCTCTTGAACAAAGTTCCCCCGTAAGCTCACTGCCTCCTGAGTGCCCAGACTGCCAGGTTCTGAGTTTATTCCCCCAGACCTCTACTGACCCTCCCTCTGACACGTACTTTAGGGGATAAGAGCTCCAGACCAACTGGCCAAAAAATCAGTTGGCCAAAAACCAAATGAGAGAATGATTAATTCATCAAAAGCTAAAGTCACCTAACTTACAGATTATTCTCAAATATTTATTTATAGATATACTATTTTAAAATAAATTAAATGAATGTACTCTTATAAACAAAGATTTTAGGTGTTCATAATGGGATTTCAGTTTACGATGATTTATTTCAAGTCATTTAAAACATTTTATCCTTTACCAATATTTTAACATATTTAGTCTTTCCCTACTTTCTCAGTAGTATTATTTAAGTTTATTAATTCTTCTAATTATTTATAAAATTGCAGCAATTAATATTAAATACTTTTCAAATCTCTACATAGTTTTCATTGCAGTATTCTATAAGAGTTTCCCCCCCTGAAAGATATAGGATAATTTGGTCTTCTTACAAAAGATTTATCATTCCAAAAAGTGTTTTTCATATCATTACCTGAAATTTCAGCATAATACTAGTACCGCAAATCTCATATACATTCACCATGTAAATGAAATTTTCAAAGAAGAAATCCGAGTAAGTATATCAATATAAAACACCAAAATTTTGTTTATTATATACTTTAAATGTAAAATTGTATCTTTTAAACAATTTCACTATTGTTGAAAAACAGTCAAAGTGTCTAAAGGTTTATAAAAATTTTTAAATGACATGCAAAAAGATACAAAAGTTACAAGATGATTATGATGCAGCCAAAATTACACCATTATAATGGCTTCAAATGCTAAAAATTTTAACTAATTTATAGAACTAAAAAGATAAGGTTAATACATTAGTATATTCATAACAAGAATTAGTAAACTAGATTATTTTATAAAATTAACATAAAGTAGTAGTGGAGCTTTTGGGCAAATCCAACTTTGGCTAACTGGCTTCTTTGGATAAAATACCTTTGCAAACCTACCACAACCCAGTGACCCAGGTAAAGCTACAAAAAAATGAAAGGTTAGGGGACTTGGGCACTTTGCAAGAGAACAGAAGACAGAATAAAGACTTTGGCCAAAGGTATATGAAGATAAACCCAATTTGAAGTAGGCCACTGAACAGGACAAAAGTTCAGAAGTTGAATACTGTTACATATGTACCTGTGCATGCATGTATATGTGTGTGTGTGTAAACTCAGGTCAAGCCTGTTCTAAAAAGAAACCGATAAAGATACTTTGTAAAATAAATTTAATATTTTATAAAAGGGGGCAAACTTAAAGAAAAAAATTGTGATAACAGGTACATCAACATATAAAATGTATGTTAAGCAATAATTTTTAATATTTATCACTGAGTGGCATATATTACATATTAGTTACTCAGGAGGATGACAAGAGTTACTGACTTAAGACATTTCATCCTATGGAAAGATCTTCCTCAGTGGCGTGAAAAATGGCTTTCTCAACAATAAGTTTAACAGGAAGCAAAGCACAACACTGGATTCACCAGACCATTTAATGTATAGTCTCTCAGTAAAGCCAACAGTTTCATGACCAGAAATTACACAATAAAAGTAATGCTGCTAGAAGCAGCTAAACAGACATTGGGATGGGGATGAAAAGCAATGTGATCCACCCCAAATTGTAGTTCTCTGATATTCTGGCTCAAACTAGTAGAATTTGGCATACCAGGCATTAAGCTATTGTATATCATTCAAGCAATTCCAACAAATGTGAATTTGTTATTATACATGTTATACCCAGGGTAGAAATATGGGGAAATTTACTCCCAGATTTATTTTAAGTCCCGTTATTGAGCACGGAATATTGGAGAAAATGTCCACTAAATGAATATAACTGTTTGTTTTTAAAAAAGGTATAGAAATAGATGCCACCCACTGGCCCCTGAGTACTGTCACCAATCCTAATGATCACATTCTCTAGGAATATTAGAGACAGAAGTTATCAACATGTGCTGGTTAACTGTTAACGTGCAGTACCTTCAAAATTGATCGATGGAAGAAAAGAGCCAGGAGTTGAATTAGATCATAAAGAACATAACCTTCTTTCTTTTCCACACCTATAATATTAGGTGGGTGGTAAGGTTTATCCTTGTTCAATTCCACATGCTTATTCCAGGGAAAAAACCCAAATTGGAAGAAATACTTGACTACAATTGTTACCTAAACATGGGTGATAGAAATTAAAAAAACAAAACAAAACAACTTGTAAACATTGTTACATGTATAGGAGAAACAGCAATATAAAAAACTACGAATAATCCATTTCACAGTTTCGATACTAGAAATGCACACAAATATGTGGAGTAATCACATTATTATTCTTACAGATTGTTGACTTCAGAGCAGGAGCTAAATCTTACCCTCACGAGTGCCTTTGATTGGAGATATATCAGGGCCAGTCAGGTTACTCATGACACTGCTTAAGTACTTTCCTCTAATTTTGAGGAGTAGGTTAATTTATACTGATTTAATTGATACATATATAATTGTCCAGCTATTAAAATATAGTGATTAGGACACAAGAACAGAATGACATTTATGCCATTTCATTTTAAGTATTGCTTTAATTTGTAATTTTTATGAGCATGCAGTTTTGATACACATAATTTTCACTTTACTCCAATCTCTTTCTTGTCACTACTTTATTGCTTACTGGAATTTCTTCTCAAAAATAAATAAAAGTAAATGAAACAAACCAGCCAGTTGTGCTGGTGTAAATGTATAAATGTTGTAGAGAATTGGTATGTTGAGAGAAAAGGACAAATGAGAAAATTGATGGGTTTCATTTAATCATGCCGCTAATGCCTATATCATCAACACTTCATTGCAATATACAAAATTCATCAATAAATATAGTTTTAAAAGTCCTTTCTTGACCTAGAGTCTTAATTTAACTCATGTCCTCTCTCTTGTCTTCTTAGTCATGCTTCTGCAAAGAGCAGTCCTATGTTTCTTATCTTAGTGAGTGACATCCCCACACACTAAATTCCAAAGAAACCTAGAGGTTATCCTTGCCTCTCTGGTTCTGCCTCACACCCCAGCTAACTTTGTCAATTATTAAAACTTCATTTGCCCTCTCATCTCCAACTTCTTTGCCATTGTATTCAGACCATATTACTTTGCAACCAGGCAGTTAAACTAGTCTCCTTGCTTCCACTTTAAGTCTATATAAAAACTTGCAAAAACACAAATCCGATCTAATCAGGCCCCTCTTTAAATCCTTCAGTACGAAGAGGGTAAGTCCTGAGAATAAACCCTGTTGACATTCCCAAGCTCCTTCTGCTGTGCTCTCCACTCAAGTCTGCCTTCCAGCCATCCTAAGCCACCTGTCATTCTTGGCACTTGCCAGGTTGTCTTATGACTTTGTTTCTTAGCATGGGTTATTCCCAATGACTGGCACTCCCTTCACTTTTCATCTTGTGGTGACTTTACACTCATCTCTTAAGACAAAGCTAAGCTCTCTTCAGCTGAGAAGTCACTGTGACATCTAACCTTTCTCCACCCCACTAGGCTGCAACAGCGCAGCACCAATCTAACTCTGTAGTCTCTAATGCTGTTTTGTATCACTTGTGGGGCAATTCTTATTCCCATCATTTCCATTTGCCACATTAATCTGTGAATGATTGAGAAACAGAAATAACTTTTTTCAGCTTGAACAGACCAATAACAGCTGGGGAAATTGAAGCAGTAATCAAGAAACTCCCGGCACACAAAAGCCCAGGGCCGGACGGTTTCATAGGAGAATTTTACAAAACATTTAAGGAAGAGCTAACCCCTGTCCTTCTCAGACTATTCCAAAAAATCCAAGAGGAGGGAAGGCCAGCATCACCCTGATCCCAAAACCAGATAAATACCCTACAAAGAAAGAAAACTACAGGCCAATTTCGCTGATGAACATAGATGCTAAAATCCTCAACAAAATATTGGCAAACCGCATCCAACAATACATTCAAAAGATTATCCACCACGATCAAGTGGGATTCATCCCAGGCACGCAGGGATGGCTCAAAATACGCAAATCAGTAAACGTGATACATCACATAAATAAAAGAAAAGACAAAAACCACATGATCATCTCGGTAGATGCAGAAAAAGCATTTGATAAGGTACAGCACCCATTTATGATCAAAACATTCAGCAAAATGGGAATAAATGGGGCATTCCTCAACGTAATAAAGGCCATATACGAAAAACCTATACTCAACATCATACTCAACAGGCAAAAACTGAAAGCTTTCCCACTAAGATCGGGAACACACCAAGGATGTCTGCTTTCACCGCTTCTTTTCAACATTGTATTGGAAGTCCTAGCCACAGCGGTCAGACAAGAGAAAGAGATAAAAGGCATCCAAATAGGAAAGGAGGAAGTAAAGCTATCATTGTTTCCAGATGACATGATAGTGTACATAGAGAACCCTCTAGACTACCAAAAAACTCAACCTAATAAGTGAATTTGGCAAAACAGCAGGATACAAAGTCAACATTCAGAAATCAAAGGCATTTCTGTACACCAGCAATGAAATAGAAGAAGAAGAAATCAGAAAAAAAACACCATTCGATATAGCAAGAAGAAAAATAAAGTACCTAGGCATAAATTTAACCAAAGATGTAAAAGACCTGTACGCAGAAAACTATACAACATTGTAAAAAGAAATTCAGGAAGACACAAATAAATGGAAGCATATACTGTGCTCATGGACTGGAAGAATTAATATCATCAAAATGTCCATACTATCCAAAGCAATGTATAGATTCAACGCAATCCCTATTAAGATACCAATGACATATTTCACAGAAATAGAACAGACATTTCAAAAATTTATATGGAACCATAAACGACCCTGAATAGCCTCAGCAATTTTGAGAAAGAAACACAAAGGAGGGATCACAATACCAGACGTCAAACTCTACTACAAAGCCACTATACTCAAAACAATCTGGTGCTGGCACAAGAACAGACCCATAGACCAGTGGAACAGAATAGAAAGTCCAGAAATAAGCCCAGGTCTATATGGGCAACTAATATTTGACAGAGGGGGCAGAAGCATAAAATGGAGCAATAATAGCCTCTTCAACAAATGGTGTTGGGAGAGCTGGATGGCTACATGCCAAAAATTGAAATTGGATCATCAGCTGACACCATACACAAAAATAAACTCAAGATGGATCAAAGACTTAAATATAAATTGCAACACCATCAAAGTCCTAGAGGAGAACATTGGCAGGAAACTCTCAGATATCCCACGCAGCAATTTTTTCACTGATATGTCTCCTAAAGCAAGGGACATAAAGGAAAGAATAAACAAGTGGGACCTCATCAAAATAAGAAGCTTCTGCACAGCAAAAGAAAACATCAGCAAAATGAAAAGGGAGCCAACCATATGGGAAAATATATTCACTAATGATATATCAGATAGAGGTTTGATTTCCAAGATATATAAAGAACTCACTCGACTGCACTCCAAGAAGACAAACAATCCAATCAAAAAATGGGCAAAGGACCTGGGCAGACGCTTTTCCAAGGAGGAGATACAGAGGGCCCAGAGACATTTGAAAGGGTGCTCAGCATCACTAGCCATCAGAGAAATGCAGATCAAAACCACCATGACGTACCACCTCACACCGGTCAGAATGGCCATCATAAACAGATCAACAAACAACAGGTGCTGGTGAGGCTGTGGAGAAAAGGGAACCCTAGTCCACTGTTGGTGGGAACGCAGACTGGTGCAGCCACTGTGGAAAGCAGTGTGGAATTTCCTCAAAAAGCTAAAAATGGAACTGCCTTTTGATCCAGTGATTCCCCTGCTGGGACTATACCCTAAGAACACAAAAACGCCAATACAAAAGAACCTCTGCACCCCAATGTTCATAGCAGCACAATTGACAATAGCCAAGTGTTGGAAGCAACCTAAATGCCCATCAGTAGATGATTGGATCAAAAAATGATGGTACATATACACAATGGAATACTACGCAGCAGAAAGAAAAAAAGGACTACTAAACTTCGCGACAGCATGGATGGAGAGCAATATGCTAAGCGAACTAAGCCAGGGGGCGAAAGACAAATACCATATGATCTCACCTATAAGCGGAACCTAACCAATAATACAAAGATGCAAGGAAAATAAGACCAGCAACACTGAAAAGAAAAGAAATCAACAGAGACAAGAGGGAAGGAGGGAGAGGGGGCGGGGAAAAGGAAGGGAAGGGGAAAGTCAAGGAACATATAGCAAGGACTCATGGACAAAACCAAAGGGGAAGAGCTGAGGGAGGGAAGGAGGAAGGGGGCAAGGGAAAGTGGTGGGGGGAGGCAGAGACAAATGTATTTGAAAAAATAAATTAAAATAATATTAAAAAAAAGAAATAGCTTTTTTCTTTTTTAAAAACTTATCATTGCATTCTCATGCTGAGCATAGTGTTCAGGTTTTGGTATATAGTCCATAGTGTGCAGTCAATTAATATCAACTTAATTTCTCACTTATTCACTCCTCAAAATGGAGTACCCAAGTTTAACTTAACTTTGGTCCAGTTATTTCCCCTTATTAAAGTGGTTCCTTATCTATTAAATAGAAAAGATATTAGCACCTGTTTTGTGTGAGGTGTGAAATGTGACAATATATAAAATTACCAGCACTAGATAACTGTTAATTATATTCATTTGTCTAAGAATATCCATCTAACTTATGGTTCTGTGTGAAACTATCTGAGTCAAGGCAGGCCAGCCTAGTTTGAATGACCGAAGTAACCTACAGGAAGGTTCCATCCAAGGCCTACCTCTGTGTAGACGATGGCCATCATCCAGAACCGTCTGCTAGGCCTAGGGACAGACAGCATGGCCCAGAGGAAGATCAGAATGGGGAGCACAAGGGTGATCACGGAGGCAGAGACCATGTGGTTGAGGATGATCACAAAATAACACACCATTTCTGAGCGAGCCACCAGGGTATTGTACATAGCATAGAACAACAGCAAGAACCGGGGCTGGCCAACGTAGAATTTCTCTGATTCTTCAAGCTCATCATCATGGAACATCCTATTAGAAAAAAAACATGACAATAAATTTGTCTTAATTTCTCCAAATTACTGATTTCCATTTTCCTATCCTTCCCCCCTTCCTTTGTCCTCAAATTACTTCTGGAAAAAACTCCAATATCATGTTACAGAAAGAAATGTGAGTAGTGGCTATTGACAGCTCTTGCTAGATCTACCATTCAGTGATAAGTACTGAGGTTTGGTTAGTATTTGCAATATGAGGAATAATGAAAACTGCACCCATTTGCAGTAAATATTTAGGTGGGCATTTTTAACACGTGAGTTTCTCTATAATGACCACAGCACAATGTGTGGAAGCATTGACCCCTAGATAAGTGACCCCTACATGTGCCTTCAATCTGTCCATGGGCTCTTACTTGTTCACCAGCAGCTCACTGGCGGTCAGCTCGTGAGTCAGAGGCGGTAAGATGCTGGACTCCAGCTTATCCGAGCGGCTGTCATCAGGGCTGACCGCCATACGACTTGGACCTGCAGAGTCATCCTGCGAGCTGAAGGACAGGCGCTCAAAGCTGACTGCCTTGCTGTAGGATGGTGGGACCTCCACGTCGCCTTCCTCGGTGGAGGACTGCGGCAACTCAGTGTCTGGGGTGAGGCCAGCCTCCTCGGACTCCTCAGTGTCCTCAGTCTCCTTTGCCTCTTCCTCCCCCTCTTCTTTGGGCCCCTCTGGCCCCTCTGGCCCCATGTCCACCTCGGCTTCACTGCCTTCGTCACCGGTGTCCTGGGCTCCCATCTCCCCATCCTGTTCGGTCTCCACGTCCTGCTCAGCTTCCACATCCTGCTCAGCCTCCATGTCCTGCTCAGCCTCCACCTCCTCTATGGTTTCTGTGGTCCCCTGGCGTGAATACAGCATGGTACACTGTGTGGGCTCACTGTCAGGAGAAAGGAATGGGCACAGACCCTTGTCTTAGCCTTCAGGTCCTGAAAATCCTCTCAAACTCTCAAGACACCTTATTACTCCCAAATAAAAACATCATGGCTTGTGAGAAAATTAAAACACCACACTTCCCCTCCTTGCATTCTATCTGTTTTGTTCCTTTGGGGTCATATCTGGTCTGCAGACTGCAAACAGCACCTTCTAAATGCAAAAGCTGATGTGGCACATACCTGGTTGAAAACAAAAGCAAGTCACATGGCTCACAATTGCTAAATCCACCTATTAATGGTGATTTTAAAAATCATATCAAGATTCACAGCCATGGGTTCCACTGTTACCTTCAAATCAAGGCACAGCATAGCATACTTACTATTATATATATTTTAAAGCAGGTTGCATATGGACATGAGAAGCCTTGCCAGTTTGGGTCTGTTGGTGTTGACCAAGATAAGCTTTACTGTCAATACCATGCAAAAGACCCACTCAGATCCAAAAGGGGATGATAGGAATGATAAAATATTGGCTAAACAACTGTATGCTTTATAGAAAAAATGGCATACTTCTATCACATTTGTTCCTTATCTAATTTTTCCATCATTTGCCTTTTTCTTATTGGTGCTTATTACATTTGAATTTTCACCATCTCCAGCTCCTAACCATCTCCCACTGAGCTCTTTGTCTACACATGGCAACACCCACCATTTTTTCCTCCCCAGAGTGATTTCTCCTTGGAGCTGCCTGCACCACCCTCTTTCTCCTCCCAACTACTTCCATTGATTTTCTTCCTGCCACCTCCCCTCCTAGTATTCACTTCCTATCAGCTCTCTACCCTTATCTTCACTCTTTTTGACATCCTGTTCTTTTCTCTTGTATCCTCCACTTCTTCTTTCATGTTTTATCTTTTAACTTTCTCTGCCAGTTCTATGAAGAAAAAGTTGTAAATAAAAATAGAACTTCCACACCATTGAAATTCATGGCATGCTTTTTAATATTGTCTACCTCAGAAACACCCAGCTACCAAGGGCAGAGGGACAAAAATTATCTGGAGATGTGGAATCTGTAAATATAGAATTATAATTTGTTTGATTTTGAAATATGTACTGTTATCCGAAGGGCATATGTGGGCAGTTAGTGTCCATAAACACTGAGATTCTCAAATGCATAGATTGTACCCATTTTTCCTGTCATCAACACCAGTGTAGATGTGTCAATGAATAAAGGAATGAATGCATGAGAGTTGGCTAAGCCCTAAGGCTGAAGAACCAGATTTGCATGAGTTTTTGGTATGTGTTCAGATGTTTAATATTCCCAGGGGTTTAGTCCTAACCATGAACATCATATAGAAAGCTCTTGCAATGCCAAGCCAAACCGACTATTTGCTAAGACTTACCTCAACAAGACATAGCTTTCTAGGAGGCCCTGAAATTGAGTGATCACCTTGGGGAGTTTTCACTGGAGCCAATCTTATACAAGTTCTAACTTCTAGTTATACTATATCCAGTGAAGGAATGCTCTCTATGGTTTTGGAGCTGGTCTGTCCACAAAAGGATTCAACAAATCCTGGTACCTTCAGGAATCAACAAAGTGGAATAGCATAGCATGTATTTGCCAGAGAACATCTCAAATGGCCAAGGCATTCCCGTCATCGCCAGGCTCTAGCATATTGCAGTACTGTATTAAGACCTATAGTTGCCAGAAAACAAGTTAAGAATCCTTTGATTTGCCAAAATTGAAACTCATTTTGGATTGGATTATTTTGGTGTCAGGATAAGCACAATGCAGCTGACCTGTGCCCCTGCTGACCATTCAGAAGCCACTCAAAAAAGAACTTTTAGATTTTATACAAATAATTTCATTTATAAATGATTATTATTTATGGTAGTATTTAATGAGAAAACTTAAGCCCAAAGTAATCTTTCCCAAACAAAACAAGTTATAGTCTACTGCATAATATTCTTTAAAAAAAATCAATGGTGAAACATATTCTGGCTTTATGTCAGTTATGCTTATTAAATGTAGACAGATCTATTCTGCATCAAAAAATGACCATATATGGCAAATTTCCATATTTTTTTTCCTGTTGCATATATCTTTTGATGAGATCATGAGAAAAATTCCTCTAGGTTTCCTGACACATTCTTCCCCTGTGAGGACTGCCAACATGAGCTCTCAGTCAAGGACAAAACATGCTTATTTCTTTGAAAATGAAAAGCATTAAATACTTACAAAATGGAGGACAATATTTATAATAAGAGTTTTTAAGAAACTCCTAACAGACAAAAGCTAAAGAGCAGTTAGTTACTAGACTACTGTCCTGGGAACAACTTATTATGTCCCAGGAAGGGTGGTGGTTATGCTTTGGTTATTCATGCAAATTCTTAAAAGAAAAAGAAAAAGAAAACATATATCACACAAACTTATATTTGCAGTGACATAAGAGGGAAATATGATAAAATTACAGAACAAAGCATGCACAAGTTAAGCACCTTGATGCTAAACTGCCACTGTCAGCTGATGAGGAGGACATATCCAAGCTGAGCATTTTACGGAGCCTAGGTCGAGCCCGCTCACTTGTTTTAGGAACAGTTTCTGGTCCATCTAAATCATCAAGGGTAGACTGCCTTGAGAACAGCATGGTTGCTTCAGTGTAGCAGCTAGCAGCGCAAACAGTTACAGAGACACAGTGTTAAAACACCAGTGGTAAATCACTTTACACATGGATCAATTGACCAACACACTGCCATGCAGCAAACCACACATGACACCAATACCACTGACAATGACGACCACCACAGCGGGGCTCAATGGCAGGGAAGGACCTGTTTGGCAGGACGATTAAACACAATAGTACTGGATTTAACAAATTATATTGGCTAGTGATAAATTATGAAATGTCACTCTCTGGGTGGGATATGGAAATAGAAAAATTATAAGTCCTCACACTTCTCTCACAGAGGATTCATATCATTATAGCTTTGCAATGGAGTTTTTCTTAATTGAGGAAAATATGCTTTATTTGGAGCTCCCTGAGTTTGTTGAGAGCATTTTGTAACCAAATTGCTTAAGCAGAAATATCTGCTCATGTATAATTTATATAAAAGATTTCAATTTTTTTAACACAGTCTCCAAAATGAGAGAGGGACGCTCAGGGTAACCACAACAAACTGAATTTTCCACCACATTTTTCGAGTGATATTCAGTGAAGCCAAACCAGATGCCTTGCATGTGAAGAGATGCTGGTTTGATATGCAACTGGATATAAATCAACATCAAAAAAAAAAAAAGAGAGAAATAAAATGGTACAAAGAAAACAACAAAGGAAGTCTAGCAATGGCAGGGTCATTTTGTCTGTTAACTTTTCATTTTGCCTAATGAATTTTATCTTCTGGATCATGTTTTAAATCTTGATGGATATCATTAGGATGAGAACCCATTGGCTAAAATCCTCAGCTCCTGTTCCCCAATAAAGCAACAGCTGAGGAGGGAATGATGGTAGATTTAGGACTGAGATGCTACTAGGTGATGCTACTGAAGGAGAGGAAACAAATAGTTATGACATAGACATAATCTCAGTTTGGATATATTGCTTAACTCCAAAGAGGCTATGAAGGTGGCTACTGGAATATGGATCTCCCAACCTGAACACTAATGACTTGGCTGACCCAGGAGAGCAGACCTTTGTGATATAGGATGGCTGATTCCCCAGCTGACACTGTTAAGATGAACATTTTTATTAAGTGACCGTGCTAGGAGGCCTATACTCTATGCCCAACCTCACAGCTGGATGCCCTCAGTCAATGATTGTGAGGTAGAAATGGACACCATTCAGGATGTAACAACCTCTCGGGGTTGGGGAGCAGAGACTTTGAATAACTTACTCATGGACCAGTTAAAGGGCTTTTCAGTATCCAGGTGCTTTAGCACAAACCACAAGCGCCCTACTAGGGCCACCCTGCTGCACGAGTCACAGCTATGTGGCCAGGAGAGGGGCAAGGCAATAAGAGAGGTAAGCATGTAAGCAATCAAATGGTCTCTAATGGGGCTGATTTTTAAAAGAAGGCCATAATCCTTTAGATGTCACCATATCCTGAACAAAATGAGGAGATGACGACATGATAAACTGGAAACACATGGAATATTGGGCTTGAGTCTCCTCCACAAGGACATTAACTGGCTGTTGGGTGTTAAATAAGTCAGGTCCCCTCTTTGGGGTCCAGTTTCATCATTCATGAATGAGGAAACAGGATCTTTGAATTCCTGTATTTCATATCATAGTTGTAGAGGTACAACCCCATGGTCTTTTTGGAGTTTGCAGGCAGAAAGAAAAGGTGCACACTGTCTTGTAGTGCTGCTTAGATTTCCTGCATAAGAACCATTGTTCAAGTTCCTATTTAACTTGTTAATTCTTGGGTTGAGTTCTATGGTCCCATTAACCCACCTTCAGGTCCCATACAGCTGGGTTACGTGGAGTGTGACGATTTGTTGCTTAATCCAGGACAGTTTTAAATGTATAAGGGATACGGTGGGGCTCTATAAAACAGACCCAGAAGGCAAGCCTGAATGGATGGTTGTTACATGACAGAGTTACACAGCAATCTCTAAGCAACATCTCCCAAATGATAATTGGTCCCCTCATATCTAGAAATGCTCCTTAGGATGTTATTAATGTTTCTTGTGGGAATTTAAATCAATGTATTTTCTGGGAAGGTAGATGATTTCTAATTTTAAAATTGCTACTTTACATCTGGATTTGAAGGAATTCATGACTATTCTATTAAGTCAAAGGGAATACAAATTCACTTGGTAGGTTCCTGCTGCAACCTTGTCCACTATAAGCCCAAAGGTAAAGATGAATGATATGGGTGTCAGGGCAGAAGCTGTGACAGGCGACACAGCTCCACCCAGGCTGGGTTTTCTGCAAAGAGGGCAGGGCCACACTGAGCATGTGAGTCCCTCCTTGAGGATGATGCTAGACCCTATTCAATGACACAGGTATTGAGAGCAATTCCATTCTCAGAATATCTTCCAGGGAAGACGACTGCCCTTCCAGGAATCAGCATGGCTTTCTATAGACTCTCATGTAGACAAATGATTGGAGATTTGAAAGTTTCCTAAAGCAAAGAAACTAGGACTGCAGCTCAGCCATGAATAAAAGGGCAAGTATATAAATTCATTTCCTAATGACATAGACATAATGGACCCCAGTATGTCACCCTTTTCTTTAGGTTGACAATAAAAAGTAAAAATAAAATTTAAAGGTACTGGTTTTTTTACTAGTAAATTTATTGATTGGTTGACCATTTTAAATTTGGGGGATGTTTTGGCAGTCTTCGTTAAAAAGCAATTCATGGATTTAAATATCTTCTACCTGAAATTTTTGATTATGGATATAGTTTTGTACTTGTAATTTTGGATTTAAGGATAGGTATTTGATTTTATTTTAAAGTTCTCTTCTTTTTCTTCTATTTTATCCCTTCTAAGTCGTGATTCACAATTTTAGTTAATTTCTTAATTGGATAGGTTGTCAATCATTGTGCAGTTAAAATTTCCTAATACAGGAATTACGCATGTTTATTTTATACACTTTATTTTTAACTCACTTTCTAATATTCTCTTTGCTCTCAGATTAGTATGTTTCAGAATTTGATTCTGGAGCAGTTATTCTGAAGCCAGTTTCACATATGATATTCAGGAGGCTTGTGAAACCTTTGCAACTTTTTGGGGAGAAAATCATATTTCTGTACACTTTTCCCTTTGGGAGACAATACATGGCTTCATGGAATTTCAAAATAGGTTCATGGAAAAATGTTCCCAGCTGCTGTCAGTGTCACTGCAAGTTAACGAAGAAAGTTCAGTCCATCCATTCCCCTTTGACTTGCCAAGCTCAGGGACCCACGTAAGAATAACAACAAAAATCTCTGTATTTTGAAACAAGGCAAGAAGGGAGGTTACAAAAATTCATTTAAAATATTATAAATAACATTATGGGGAATTGTATTTTTTGAAGAACAGATGTGAATGTGCAATAACCAAATTAAATACTACGCATGCATATAATTGTATTCTTAACTATGTGGGAGGAAATATTCCCAGTTAAATATAAACATGACTTTCAGTTAAGATAAACAGAGCTATCAGAAGCCTTTTATTTTGGAATTCAGACAAAGTGAAAAATACTTTGCCTCAGACCCTGTCCATAGTCAATATATGCATAGCAGGGCTGTCCAAAGCTGAGTGTAGTGGGACAACTGCATATGGTAGACACAAATGAGTCAGTATGTAAAAGCGATGTATTTTGGAAAATGTACATCTAGAGTATCTCAGTATTTTTCTTCTCCATTCTCCTGTTTTTTATAAAATGGTTATTTGGTCATGAATAGGTTATAAAGTGGGTGCATTAGGAAACTTTTAGATTCCCCAGTTCATTTTCATTCACCATGTAACTGGGATATAATATTAGTCAGTATCTTGAATATTCACTACATTCAGAAAAATCTTGCTTATCTTACCTCCCTGCCAACACACTTGACCATTTCTGCAAAGATGTCCATGGAGCTTCCTTTTATTATAAAAGTATAACTACCATAAAATAACGTGGAATATGTAAAAGTATGGGTAGAATGGGGGCAAAAATGGACTTCTAGTTTTATCATGAAAATGAACTCAAGAGAAAATAATTCAGTTTAAATAATTGATCTATAGCTATAAAGAGAATTATTGCAAGAACACATTTAAGAAGCTTGGTAGTTTCCAAATAGAACAGTTTTTATGGTTTTCAATAAAAATAAAAATAAAATATATACAACAATGACTTTTGTCTCAATGGAGGCTGTCAAAGTAAACTGAAGTTCCCCTTTCAAAACTGATTGTGGGACATTTTCAGGAAGACACACAAGGAGGCACTGTCGGCACTTGAACATGCAAAATCATGATACTATTTTCACTTTGTAACAGATGTTACAAATAGTTTAAAAAATTAATTACTGAGAGATGTGTGTGCTTGGGTAGAAAGAGAATGAAAAATTAAGTTTTATTACCATGCACAATGTTCTAATAATCAATTATTTTATTCTAGGAATTAAAAGTATCTTAAACAGCATTTCAATTAGCAAACAAATGTCTTGACCTTGAACCTCTTAAGAGTTTCTATCCTGTTTCTTCTGTTAACAAAAACCTATAATAGCTGATTCTTACATCTATCTTATAAATAAGAAAATATTATTCCCAAATTAGAGGAAAAAATAATACATCTTTTATTACTCCTCAAAGGACTTTAAAGAATCAATTCCTAATTCCACAGGACTGGAGAAGTCACATCCATGAAGGATTTTATGCATCCAAAAATCAAACTTAAATCAATATATGTATGAATATATATGTTTTTAAAAAATAAAAATGAAATTTTAGCATATATACCACTTTAAAACATGAGGGTTTTTTAAAATTAAATATATTCTTTCCATAGAAACTAATTTAGATCTGCATCAAATAGATTATTAGAATAAAGAACATGCACAACTGGAGAAGCTAAAATACAACAATCTGGCAACAGCTAAAAATAGCACTTCAAAGTAAACTTTTTTATTCACCTCTCCCACTAAGGTTGTAATTTGAATTTTTAGTTATCTATTTTGGGTTTGGTATCTCAGTATTGATAAAATAGCCTGGGTTCCATCCCTTGTTTCATCTTGTAGCATATTCAGTATTTGTGAAGGACAAATAGTTCTCTAGACCTTGGTGTCTTGCTCAGCAAATGAATGAAGTATGACTAGAAATAATCCAGGAGCTTTGAAACCAGCAGTGAGAATGCAGCCCATCTCTGATGTTCTTAAACAGCAGAAATTAGTCCAGAATTCCACAGACAATCCTGTGGCTGAGTCTTTCTTTCCAGGCTCAAACCACCTAGACATGACTTATCTTTATGTGTCAAGCCCAGGGCCTAGCATGGAATAGGTGCTTTTTAACATGTTTAGTAAAAACAGTAAATACATGAAAGTTCGCGGTGATACAACTCTTTACCTATGAAAATGGACACAAGTTGTAACTCATTTAGTCTAGCTATTTACCCTCAGCATGTCATTTTCCTCCTAACACAGGGTTTCTGCTTTGACTTGAAAGTTAAATATTTACAGTTGATAGCAGCTATGTAGAACACTGGGGTGCAAATAATTTATAGGTGTTTCTGGGATAGGCCATAATAAAGACAGGTAAATTCTCAAAGTTGGCTTGGAGTGCAGAAGAAGCAATGCAAGGTAGCATATGGTGATATGGTGGCTGAGAGTTTGGGCTCTGAGATGAACTGTTATAGATGGTTTTGGATCCTGAGTCAGCTTACATGTACTTTTGGGCTATGTGACTTTGGCTGTTACTTAACCTCTCTATAACTGAAATGGGGACAATAACATTATGCATCTCCTGGGGTAATTTGAGATAATCCACACACAGTACTTGGTGCTGGCCCACAGCCAATGATCATTGCAGAGTCTCTGTTGTGAGACAGTGCAAGTGACCACACAACTAAGGGAAGATGGACTTTTATTATGAATCATAAAGTAACAATTCTGAAAGAAAAATACCAAAGATGACAACAGATGGCAGAAGATTCTAGTTTAGAAGACACTTTGTGGAGTGGCATTTTAAAAATGAAGTAAAGATGCAGCCCTTGACACAAATAATAAATTTGTCATTAGGAAGGTTCATTCTTGCTTGCCTCCTGGTTGGAAACCATTTTCCTATACCTACAAATCACACAGATGTATCTAATAGTTTTTTCTTGATTTTATCTGGCTCAGTCTAGCGAAGGAAAATATTCCTTTCACCTTGCTGTGCATATAGACATACCCCAAATAGGGTGGCAATCCATGTAGGTTCTGATTAGCCTTCACCACTTACATTCATTTCTCATATTGATGAGGTCCACCACTTTTACCTTTGTCAAAACCAAATCTATTGTTCAGAACATGAAATACCTGGAGATACTGTCATGTGAATCTAAGCTATCCATCCTGTGGGCTGTCTGTGCACCTGAAGCAGCACCAGGACGATCGTCAAGTGTGTCCAGTCCAGACTCTCTGGAAAGGTTCATCATGTGGTTCTGATAGTACATGTGGATGCTTTCCCGAGTGGGAACGTTGCCCTGTAGCGAAGGAGACATTGCCACAGTTCTTACTTGCCTCTGCAGCCACATGGAATTGCTCAATATTGACAACTCTCAGCTATCATGCACACCTTGAGCAGATTAACACAAAGCTAGTGAAGTTGGGGATTGATGTCAATTCATGGAATTAATGGAGACCAATATTACTGGGTAATGCTAAATGAGAAATCCCTCTTGCTTATGGATGAAGGTGATCAAAAGGTACAAATTTCCAATTATAAAATAAATAAGGCATGGGATGTAATGTAGAGCAAGGTCACTGTAGTTAATGATACCGTATCGAATGTGGTAGTCCCTCCTTCTCTGCAGGGGATACATTTCAAGACCACCAGTGGATGCCTGAAACCATGTATAGTACTGCTCAGTACGTATACTATGTCTTTTCCTATACAGATGTACCTATGGTAAAGTTTAATTTATAAATTAGACATACTAAAGAGATTAATAACAATAACTAATAAAAAGAACAATTATAACACTATAATAAAAGTTATGTGAATGTGGTCTTTCTCTATATCTCAGCAAAGTAACACAGGTTATTTTTCTTTTTTTCATAATTTTACCAATAGAAGATTCATTCTTACCATAAATCTTAGCAACCTCAGTGTAAGATTTTTTTCCTTTCCTTATTAAATCAATAACTTTAACCTCGTCACATAAAGGAACCACTTTACGGCTTCGCTTTGGCATATCTGAATTGCCAACATCACTACTCTCGTACTTTGGGCCATTATTAAGCAAAATAAGGGTTACTTGGACACAAACACTGTTACACCATCATAGTGGATCTGATAACCTAAATGGATATTAGTTACCGCCAGGAGGGAGCTTATACAGTGTGGAGACATTGGACAAAGGGATGGTTCACATCCTAGGTAGGATGAAGAAGGATGGCCTGAGATTTCATCACACTACTTAGCAGGACATACAATTTAAAACTTAAGCATTGTTAATTTCTGGAATTTTCCATTAATATTTTTGGGTAGTGGTTGACCAAGGGTAAGCCACAAAGTGAAACCATGGATGACGGGGGAGCACTGCATCTGAAAACAGCTTAAAAATTTCCAAGAAAAAAATTGTAACTGTGCTGATGAATGTTAAGTAGATTTACAGTAGCAATCATTTAATTATATATATATAAAAAATCATTATGCTGCACACCTGAAACTAATATAACATTATATGTCAATTAATTTTCAATATAAAATTTTGAAAAGAAATTGCTTCTTATATATAATTTTGTAGCTATGTATAAGTATATATAATAGTAACTTTTCTAGTAATAAACTATTATTCTTAAATATGTTGTATAAACCTTATATGACCATATTTTGCTGTTCTATATATATCCTAATTTTCCCTATGAGAAGTTTCAGATCAAACTTGTCAGACTAAACAACATAATCCTTTATGAGACGCAGCAGAGTCTGTGCACCTGCAAATTCTGATGAAGCAAGGGGATAGAATGAATAAACTAGCCACTATTCCAGGATTCTGTATGTGTGTATGTGTCCGATTTTAATTCTAAGCATTAAACAGATTTAAATAGCCAGAAAAATAAAGGAGATATGTAAAGATGGTCTAGAAAGAAAAGATTTTGTGTTTTCCTGCTTAGAGTTCTGGCTATTGAGTTTCACAATCTTTATAATGTGGGTAGAAACCAAAAAAAAAAAAATATTCCAAGAGTGTTACCTTTTTAATTTCTCTGGTCAGCATGCATCTTTCAATTCTCAAAACTGTAGATATATCAATATGCTCCCTTGAAATGGAGTTAAGCCAAGCTGTGAAACTATCCACTGTGGCCAGAAAGAGGACCCAGGTAAATTTCAAAATATTAAATATCCTTTTGATGATATTATCTAGGAGGAAGAAAAAGAAACAAAATTTCAAAGGAACAAAATGCCATCCACCGTTTTGCTGTGCATAGCACAGTGATGTTTTGCAAAGGCAGGCCTGTTTTTGGCCCTCCATGCCCTGCGTGGGGTGGGCATGTGACACTCAGCATGACAGGGGAACGGAGGACCACCGCCGTATAGGAAGCTACCACTAAGTCTTCCTACATGTGGAGCGCCAGCCTCCAAGCCAAGCCAGAGTAGAACTGTCAATGTTTGATCAAAGCATTGGTCAGAATAGATCCATATACAGATAATAGGTTTGATTAAAAGTAGAGGTGATATTCAAAGACATTTCTGTTATTGGCATAGGAATAGAAACAATCCGTATTTAAGCCAAGCAATTGGATCCTATAATGCTTTTCTATAAGTTTCCTCTTTTCTTAAGTAATAATAGTTGTTGGAAATAATTCTGTTTATTCAGTAAGAAACTGATACTTCCTACTGCAGTTGCATTTCAGTTAAATCGTCTCAAAGCTATTCTGTAAAGAGCTCAGTACGTGTACTAAGAATGTATGTATGTGTGTGGGTGTATGTGTATGTGTGTATGTATATACACACATGCCACTGAACTATCCTTATTCTTAATTATACTGAGCCATGCTAACTACAAAATACTGCACATGGGATCAGTGTTCCCCAGACGAACAGAAGCTGTGAAATTCCTGATACACTTGGGTTCTCTTCCTTATCTGTAGTTGTGGCACAGGAAGCCAGGAAATACTGCCCAGTGTGGCGAGCTCAGCTCTGATTGCCACTGTGTCCTGACACTGTCTCAGTGCAGCACATGGCTCTCCTGCATCCTCAGAGAGTTCAGCATAAACTCCTGATCACTGATTAGGTTTAAGGAGATCCCATAGCTGTAACCTAACTTTTTAAAGGTCTGAGTCAAAATAAAAGAGGGGAGATCCCCTATTAATGTCTTGCTGGTTTGCTTGTGTAAGCCAATAGTTTCTCAACTGGGGTACAATGAACCTTTCAAGACATGCCACCAAGTTTTGACCATGTGTACTTTTTCTTAAATTTGGCATTTCAAAATTTAGTTTTATTAAGTATTTCAAACCTTGATTATAATAAAGTGAATTCTTAGTGAACATGACAATGAATTGTTTTACTGTCTATTAAAAACAAATACCACCAACAAGAAAACAATTGTATCTATCACTGTTCCCCCCAGAGAAGAAGAAAACGATTCAAGTGTCATAGGAAAATTTTAATGAATTTAGAGTTAATGGTCATAGTTTGGAATTAGTTTAAAATCATTTAGATAGCATGTAAAAAAGGGCATAAACTGTTATGATTTTGTACAAATGTTTGCCAACAAACATTTTTCTGGACAGGACCCAACAGTATTATATTTGGTTTTCCAGGGCATATTGTCTCTATTGCAACTATCCACTGCTGTTGTAGTATGCAAGCACTGTGGACAATGAATGAATTGCCTATGAATGGGCATGACTGAGCTGCAATAAAACTTTATTTATAGAATTTAATAATTTTCATATGTCATAAACTACTATTCTTTTTGTATATTTTCAACCATTAAATATTGTCCTTAGCTAACAAGTCATATAAAAACAGGTGGCAGGTGGGATTTGGCCCAGGGGTTATATAATTTCCCGACCTCAAATCTAGTGCAATTACATATGACCATTGGGTGACTCACCCCTGCTCTCCATCAATCCTCCCTCTCTGATTCTTATACCACAGTGTGAATCAAAGTTTAACTTTGTCATTGTAAAAAAAAAAAACACAAAAAACAACTCTTTGTGAATTGAGGGGCTTAGAAGGAAGGCAGACTTTCTCCCAGGTAAATGTCTGCTTCTTTTTCCAAAGGGAAACCTTTAGAGGAAGCTTAACTTTATGTGGGACAGCCTCCAGACAGAGTCCAGATGGGCAAGAGAAATGAAGAAGAGTTTAATAGTTCTACCTACTGGAATAACAAGAACCTTGGAATGGTCAGCTGGTACCTGGGGAAGAAAACTGGGGATCTGGAAAAGAAGATGGGGGAATAATTAAATGAGAAGGGCCTGGAGGGATGAGGGTCTGAGCCACAGCTGGCTGTAAAGCCAGGCCCTAGACACACCAGCTGGTAAGAGCCCTGCTGAGGTGGGTGATGGCTGACTTTCCCTTTGAAGATTTCCTCCTGTGCAGTCACTCCCTCCCACTATCCCCCCAAACCTCAGTAAAACTGTGTCACACCCAACAGCCTTACATGCAGTATACTTTAGGAAATAGGGAAATGAGGACGTAACCATTGAGCAAAGAAACCCAAGAATGGAGCAGTTGTTTTGTGAAGCTGAATGGAGGGAGTTGCTACAAATTCCACAGAAGAAAAATTCTGAGCCAGAGAGTGCTAGAAACACTTATACTCCTCTTTCCATCCAACACTCCTGTTTCTGTTCCCACAGTAGTTTGGATAGAGCCTCGAGCCCTTTTATGTAGACATCAGAGGCAAGTTTGACCTCTGAGGGCTGAAGGACTTGGAGTTAGTTACAACTAGTAATAAACATTTGCAATGTCTTATATTTTGACACATTTTTTAAATCATATTCACAGTTATTTCCTTAGAGGTGGTAAAGATAAATATAATTATTTCACAGTTTTGTTTATGGTGGTCTTTGATGTTTAAAATAGCTGTGTTGGAGACATGTGTAACATGCACTTTATAAACTTAGGTGATCAAAAACTAACATGTAAAATTAAGCTTTTTATTTTTACTCATTTTTAAATCATAGAGGCAATATGGCATAATTGTTAAGAGCACAAACTCTGGGTTCAGGCTCCTTGGTTCAAATCCTTACTCTACATCTTAGTGGCTATGCAAACTTGTTAGCTAGTCTTTCTCTGCCTCATTTTCTTAACTGTTAAATAAGGAAGAGAGTTTTTGAGAGAGTTAAACAAGTTAATACGTCTAAAGCTCTTGGAAAAGCGCCTGGCAAAGAAGATGTGCAATCTAAAGTGTTAGTTACTGTCATTGTACAAGGCTTCGCAGCAATAGTAGAACATGTGGCCCTACATACAAGTGAGTAAATTATCTGTATATGGAGGCCAGGTTTAAGAACTGGGCCACAGAGTGTATTAGCTAGCCTCCCGAAGCCTCACTCTGAGCCAGCAGATGGCATCCTTGGAAGTATTTGTGTCCAAAGTAAAGAGCCTGAAAATTTTGCCGGCTGATAAACAATATATGCAGGAATTCCAACCCTGCATAATAGAGGAAACAGCATTTTTATAGAACTAAAGAAGCATTTGAGTTCATTTTACTTGGAGAATTTTGTTTTGCTTTTTTTTTCCCCCTGCACAGAGAAATCTTCCCAATCACAGACTATGTGAAGACCAAATAGCACCATGACTGGGCTGGGGGTTAGAAGACAGGGATTCTGTCCCTGAATGCATCTGTGGAATTCTGAGCAAACTCTTTGGGATCTGGTTTTCCCTCATAAAATGAGGAAGTTGGCCCAAGTTTCTAGAGTATCTCTTATTTCCCCAATTCTCTTTACCGCTCCCTTAACTCCTTTCTATGCCCTTTAAAATTAATTGCGAACATTTTTAAGCATCTGTTCTGAGGTATTCTATGGGACATTTATAATTTACTCTCCCACATCCCTTGCATAGAAACTTAGACAACAGAATTTACAAACTGACTCTAATCCAACAGTGCAAGGGGCAGATCTTTTAGGGGTCACTTTGCCATTTTTACTAGAGATGAGACTTCAAAGGACACTGATTATTTAGTTACAGTCCAGAAACAGTATTTGATTAGTTATTTTTAGGCAGCCTTTCATTACATACACATCTGGGCCAATAACATTTTCAAATTTCTCTCAGCTCATTCACATTTGTCTTCATTTTATTACCTGGTCCATCTGACTTCTTTTTGACTGGCTCATCCTCTCGGTCTTCCCACAACACAGGACCTGCCAAGTACATTTGATAAACATGAGTTAGATTCATTTAGCCAACACTATTCTTCTGGATTAAAAGTGATATTTAAATTCAATTTAGGATATTCTGCCTCTTTTAATAGTTCCTGGAAAAAAGTTCTAAGAATTCATAGCATTCAGATTCTCTTCCCTCCTGAACAAGAATCGTAGATACGAGTGGCAATAAACTGCAATCTTCTGGCCAGATCTTTCCTGCTTCCTGTGGCCTGCAATTTCAGAATGGTTTTTATATTTTTAATAGTTGAAAAAAATCTAGAAAAGAATATTTTCTGCTCATGAAAATTATGTAAAATTCAAATTTCAGTGGAACACAGCCAAGCCCACTTATTTATGAATTGTTGGTGGCTGCTTTCACCCTACAATGGCAGACTTGAGTTGCAACAGAGACTCATGTCCTGCAAGTATTTGGTTGTCAAACCACTATGCTGCACATCTGAAACTAATAGAAAATAATATCGAATGTAAATTCTAATTGAAAAATTAAAATAACTAAAAAATCCCAAACAAACAAATAAATAAACAAACAAAAATATATGACTTCGGCCTGGAGCTAAATGCTTCAGAGTCTATAAACATACCTGGGAGTAAATGAAAGCATTATATTAACAAAAATAGCATTTAATTAAATAAAAAAGGAGGAATCATATAATAAATAGGGTTAGCATAATTGTATTTTGACCTAAAAGCAAACAAAGTAGATCTCTACTTCACAGAAAATAAGAACTTCAAAATGTAAATAACATTAGGAGGAAATATAGGAAAATATGATCATAATATTTGGGGGGTTTTCTTAAGCAAAATGGAAACCTAGAAACTGCAAAAAGAAATTCAGACCTACATGACATCAGAAAAAATTAAAAATTGTTTAGATAACATATTATAAACTAAATCAAAAGATAAGCATTTTATTGGAAAAATTTTAACATATACAAGAAGAAAATATTCATAACATATAAATATTCCCTAAGTTAAAAAGGACAAACAACCCAATAGCATGATATTATAGAAAATGGTAAAAATGTTTAAGTCTTAGTTTTGGAAGTACAAATTACCAAAAAACATTTTTAAGAAATTCAAACTTATTAGTTAGGAAAATTCAAATGAAAATAAAACCCCGAGAAAGACAAACAATGAAAAGAGTAATACTATCCTGCGGGATAACACTACAGGGAAATGGACACTAATAACCTTAAAAATTGGGGTGTAAATTACTAAAACTGTTTGGGAAAATATTTATTAAAGTCAAACAAAGGTACACCATTAAACCCAGCAATCCCACTTTTGATAATGTATTGTGTGGAAAGTGCATGCTCTTCCTGACCTTTTGCTATGCATTTAAATACACACACGTATAACTATGTATAAAATTTTGTTCAGGGATAGCTAAGATAGCATTGCTCATTGTAGCAAAAATCTGGAAGTAAACTTTTGTCCATTAGTGATGAAGTAGTTGAATAAATTATGCATATCCATATTATAGAATATTTTGCAGCTGTTAGAAAGGATGATATGGATTTATAAATACTTAATTGGAGAAATGTTCATGATACAGTGCTAATGAACCTATAAGAGCAGCTCATATGGCATGAATTCATTTTTGAAAAACAAACAAAGGAAACTGTGCTAGTGCACATGTATGTATGCTCATGAGAAAGGAGTAGAAGTGAACACAGCATATTGTGAGGATTTCATAGCTTAGTAGATAGGTTTCCAGGACAGATTGTGCATTTGGCTCTTTACTGATGACTTGTTATATCAGCTCTGTCTGAATTTTATCTTATTAAACCAATAAAGTAAAATAAAATTAAAGTTACTAAGAGGTAGCAGAAGGCAGAACAGTCAAAAAGGATATAAGTTTTACAATTAGAGCTCCATTAGAAATTATGTTTTCATTTCTTTATTTTAAATATATTTTTAATTTCACAAGGAATTTGTATATACATTTTCTTTGTAAAGCACAAAAATGTAGCAGATAAGCCTAAAGTTCCCTTTAATCACACCACTTAGTCTCTCTATCCCTTCCCTCAGAAGTAACCACATTTATTAATTTTCTAAGTATTCATCTTTATATTTATACATTATTATGTGCACCCAGTTAAATGCAAAATATTGTCTTGAGGTTTCCCTTGTTTCATAAATAGTTTCATAATGTGTATGCTATTTTGCAGCATAATACTTTTCATTTAACAATATGTCCCAAATTGTTCTCCAAGTTAGTTCAAAGTAATCCATCTCATTTTTTAAAGTACTGAAGATTCCATTGTATATTGGTAACAATTTCCTTAAGCCTTCTTCTTTATGTGAGCATTTAAGACATTTCTAAATTGTTATTATTAATAAGAAATGTAACATTTACTCTTAGAAATGTGTCCTTATGCCTTTATACATATGTGTAAATCCTGCTTCAGGTTAAGCCACACACCTGGAAGTGAGACTGATTTCTAGTAGGATGTGTACATATAAAATTTTCACAGCTATTGACATGCTACTCTTCAAAGTGGATATACAACTATATAATACCATTCATAGTGTGTGCAAGCACTTACCACTTACCTTCCCACTAGTTCCAAACGATGATGTTATCAAATGTTTAGGTTCTTGTCAATCCAGTAGGTAAAAAGCCAAAATGTTGAAATGCTTAGTTTGAGTTTTTCATATTATTAGTGAAGCTGAACTCCTTTTTACAGGTAATTTTCATTTTCTGATTTGTGAATTGTTTTCATATTCATTCATCCATTGGTTTGAGTTTTAATTTTACTTTCTTTGAATTCTTAATATAACTAATATTTAGTCAGATTTATATAATGAAAATGTGTTTCCTCAGTGTCCACATTGCACTTTAACTTTGCTATTTTTCCCCCTTAGAAATGTGTTTCTATCATATGCCTTCAAATGTACCAGCATTGTATTAAATATGGCATTGGTAGTTATGTTCTGCTTTTGGTTCATGAACACTGTTTAAGTGTGCTTTTCCTTTTTCTTTCATCAAATGTCAAAGTCTCATCTGTGTAATTAGTTTTTCCAAGAACAGCTTTTCACTTACAGATAAAGACTTGTCTTATATTTATTTTCTATAACGTAATTTTTCTTTCTACTTTCTTTGAGTTTAGCATGCCTTTCTTTCCATTTTATAAAATGCACCTTAACTTAAATTCCTGTTTTAATCTCTCACACGCAATTAAGGACAAGTAAAAATCTTTGCACTCTTTTGAATTTAAGAATTTGATTTCTCCAAAGATTTTTTCCCTTGCAGTTCTTCTGTTGTATTCAAGGCCCAGAGAAAGAGGGCGCCGGCCCGAGCCTGCTGCGCCTCTGCGACACTCACCCTCCCCTGATCCGTTTCTCTTTCTTTTCTGTTCTTCCCGTGCAGACATTTTTTTCTCTTTGCGCCTCTGTCGGAGTGCTGTCTTAGGGTCAGTAATCCAGGCTTGATAAACAAACTGAAGGGAGAAAGTTCAATTATTTTCTGGCTTTTTAATAATTTGACTTAAAAGAAAAAGGAACCAATACCATACTTCTTGACTTCTGTAAACATTTTTTTTTCTCCCAACACAGACTAAATATCCCTCTCCCATATCCTTTCATATACTGAGCTGACCTGTGTTATTTTCATTGTCATGAAATGATAGAGGAAAACAGATAGGTAGGAATATATTTCATTTGGTATCACAGACAATTATGAGAAACTTCGGGTACATACAAACCAACATTTTGCCCAACTCCCCATATACCACCACCGCTTATAATACTTAACAACTGATCTTTCCCATTGCACACAATAGGAATGAACTGGAAGCTTCACTAAAGTGTCATTAGAGTAGTCTTCTCCCATTGAAAATAAACTGTGAGTCAAAAACAAAGTCAAAAATCTTTTCCTCACTTATTTTGGGAAATAATGTATGTTTGATACTTTCTCTTGTAAATAACAGCTATTACCAGCAACTTGAGAAAGGGATTTGCGGATCGATTAGTATTTGGAGAGGAAAAATAAGGTGATATTAAGATTAAGAAGTTACTTCAGATGGTATGAAGGAAAACTTGTCCTTTTGAAAAGTTGCCTTTTGTCATTTTTATTCAAGAGCTGAAAATAGTTGCATTAATATATTATAACCAGTAACCATGATAGACCCATTTTGAACAGCCCACCCACCAATAGTTTCCCAAGTCATGCAGAAGGAACAAAAAGGAAACCTTGATATACAAAGTCAGCCACCTAGAACCAAGAAGCCAAGCAGGCATGCTCTTCATGCACCCACAGACACACCTGGGTCTCAGGGAAGCTGGGTTTTCTATTATCATAACGTTAAAGGAATGTTCTGCAGGGGTGTTTATAAACCCAGACAATTTCATTTAATTTTATATAATGTCTAGATTTCTGACGTCTTTGAAAAACACAGCTTAAAAACACTATGGGGCACTGTGATGGCATAAAAATAAGGAGGAATACAATCCTTCCACGTATGGAAATAAAGGTCATAGGTTATTAAGAAAGGACATTTCTTCTCACTGGTAGAAATCTGAATCTTAAGAGTAATTAATGTAAATATAATAACTATATTATTTTTGAATAATAAACCCAGGAGACAAAAAATCTCTTATTTTATGCCTGAAAACATTTTGAAAAATTAGATAAACTGGAATTTGAAGAAGGACCAAATAAAGAAATTTGTGGTAGATATTTATTGAGCATGTTAATCAGGAGTTCTATCAAGAATATCTCTGAGGTTTAGCATATGAATAAGCAAACTTGCTTCTGCAAAATATTGATTCTTTAAAAAAAATCCATTCTGCTAAATGTAAATACATTTTCAGGATTAAGAGTAAAATATGGCGATGTTTTCTTAAAAAAGTTATTTGAATATTGCTTTTAAAGAATAGAAGACTCCCCAAAATAGAAAAAAAATTCAGGATTTGTGAATGTAATAAGTGCACAGCTGGGAAATTCTTTTTTTTTTTCTGAAGAGTGAGCAGGAGAGAAGGAAGTGCTCAGAAGAGAAGTGAAGAGGCCTTGGGGAAAGGGTGAGAGCCCCAGAAATTTGACTGTATTAAAAGGGAACTCCTGGTTCTACATATGATGCCAAATAATTAAGCTAACAGTTTTTTCTCTGTGAAATGAGAATTTAGAGAATACAAATAAGAGGGAAGGAGGGAGCAGGAAAGAATCATATGTCACATCCTTAGTTCTAAGTAAATTATCTTAATGTTGATGTTTGGAAGTACGAACATTTTACAGCTCCAGGAACATTTGATAGAGGATCAGTTTGGCCTAAATCCAACTGTTTGAGGAAAGAGCTGATAATGAAGGTGGAGGAGGAAACATCCAATTTCTTGGTCAAGAAATAGCAGTTTCTTACTGAAACTTCTTACTTGGAAGCTGTAGCTAATACCCATATGATGGGTCTCTCTAGGGACTCAGACATGAATATCACTAACCATAAGTAGAAAATACATGAAAATGTATTCAAATAAACTTGGGCTTCTTCAAACTGCACTGCCACTGTATTCCCAACTTTATCTTAAATTTTATCTTATATTCTATCTTAAATTTTATCTCATATATTAAAGAAAATGGAATTCGCTTTACTGAAAACTCATTATATAAAAAAAGAATTTAATCTTTAAAACAGGAGAGAACTTCGTCGACATGGAGATCCTTAACTGATATTAGTTACATTTCTTAAACTATCCTTTAATTCAGGTGTGGTCCAAGACTTTCTATGTTGTCTGTAAGAGATTTTTTTTTTAAAGTTAGATGGAGGATAATTATATTGTAATCTTTCATATACATTCTTTTATATGGCTGGAGAGGCTCATATGGTAGCCATAAAAAGGAAAAGAAAAAGAATCCTAGGGAAGTAACGACAGTGAATATTAAACTAAACATCAGAATCCTAGCATTTAGAAAATGGCAGGAACCTTGAGTACTAGATCCTGCTTTCCCAGGTGGACCAGCTGTTAGTGCTTCATGGGGAACTTGAGAGAAATACAGAATTCCAGGTCCCAACGAGGACCTGCTGAACTTAAATAACCTGTATTTAAATAAGATCCCAAGAGAAATGAGGGAAAAGCTGGTCTTGGTCACTATCCAAACCATTTGCTGAACACTGAGGGTTTCAGTGCTTCCCTTAGATTAAGTCAGGAGAAAGAGCTTTCTTTAAAGTACAAAAAGAATAATACATTAACTATGAGTTTTGGTAATTAAGTGACAACAGCATAGGTGGCTGGATAACTTCTGTTGTGCATTAGATTAATTAACAAGTAATTTTTAATGGTTTACCCTGCAGTCACTGGTGACCTGGGAAGGAGCAGCTGCACACACCGTACATGGCATGGTGGCCTAGTGAGGAGGTGAGCTGATTTACGGATGAGAAATGGAAAATGATGTCCAATTTAGAAAGATGGAGACTTAACAGGAAGCCAGAAAGGACATGGAGCAAACCGAGTCTTTTATTAGCTTATTTGTAAGTTAACCAGCTTTCTGAGAAAAATTATCATACTTTTTACATATCATAACTGATGCATGCAATCAGATGTGACCCTTTTAAAGTGAGATGTGACTTAAGACAGAACTACAAAAAGGACAGAAAGTAGATGGATATCTGCATTTTCTTGTTCTTTTTTTCAGTAAGCTCTGGTGTCAGCTGAAAAAACAAGAATCAAATAATATGAAATTTGGCTTCTTAGAACTCTTTGTGGAAAAATTTGCCAAATATTTTAAATTCTTATAATTTCTTCATTGCACAATCTATAGAACAGGGAAAAGGCAGATGTAGCAACAGGGGTCTGCTTGTCTAAAAATCTATGGAGCAGAGGGTCACACACCACACATCAGGAAAACATCAAATACCTTTGCAGCTCTGATTAAATACTGAAGAATAGTTTTGGGAAGTTTAATGACAGACTTTGGCAAGGCTAAAATGGCTGACGCAAACTTCCCAATAGCTCTCTACAAAGAAGGACAAAGCAAGAGTAATTAGTAGGAAAAAAAAAACCCCAAAACTAGTAATTTAACATATGACTTAAGTATGAGTTTGTCTTTACAATTACATCACCTAGATTTGAATGTGCCAATCATTGAAGCTAGAATGAAATATGCTCTGCTTATAAGTTAGGAATAAAGAAAATTGTCAATCTTTGCAAGTAATCCATAAAAGTAGTGAAAATGATCGTGGTCTCTCCTTTGCTGCATGATGAGTGATGGTTAGAATAAAAATAAACAAGTCAAGTCATTAGTATTTGACAAGCCAGCTGCACACATGCACACAGTCATCTAGAAATACAGTGAGTTAGCAATGGCGCCAGTGAGAACGCATCAGAGCAAGGTGTCTCTGTGAATAGTTTAGTTCTTCAGTGTCATTGGGAAAATGGGGTGGATGTAACTTGCCAGCTTGAGAAGACCTAGCCAGCAAACTGACAATGGCCTCTTCATGGACATATCATGTAATTCTAGGTATAACAAATGGAAAATGACTCCTAACATGTGGCTCTTTCATGAAATATATATACATATAAATATATATCAAGCTTTCATTCCATATGTATGTCTCCTGAAAAATTATCATGTTTAGGTAGCATTGATTACACATTACTGGGAACACTAAGACTAATGAGGTATATAACTGAGAATGGTACAGCAGGCTCTGAAAAAGAAAAGGCAGATAAACTGAAAAAAAAATCAGAGCTGTGGTTGATATTTTCATTATTTCAATAAATTCTCAAATTTTTAGTAATACAAATAAAACTGATTTTCCAAATGAAGTAACATTTAAATGACCATTTGTTTGAAAACGAAGAAAGTATTTTTTTCATGATCAACTGTTCTACATATCAAAATATAAGTCCATTCAAGCAATCCAAAGCAATGCCAGAGAAGTCTTCTTCATCTCCTACTTGCAACAGAAAGGAAGTTTAATTTTTTGTTTATAGCATCAGAAAAATTTTTGAGGCAAATAAATGAAGACCTGACCAGAACAGTGCTCTTGCATGGTAGGAGCAAGCATGATTAGTTTAATGAGGAATAAATAATTTCAGATGAATATCAGAAGCTTCTGTGAACTATCACGTATGAACATGACAAAAGAAGTCTAGGCTTGCAATCATGGTCTATCAAAAAGAAAATTCAACTAGCAAAATACATGATTTCCCAAATCCCATAGTTACCTGGAAAGCTGACTTTCTTGGAGGTTCTTCATCTTCCTTTTTTAATTCTTCTTCCTCCTCCTCTTCACTATCCGTTTCAAACAAATAATAGTCTCCACTCCTGACCACTAAGCAAAACAAAATATTTACTTATTTCTTGAAAGAGATATGAGATAATCAGGGACTTATTAATGAAATGTCCCCCAAAGATACACATACATTATCCATAAAGGAACCACAGCAAGAGACATTGGTAGGGAGAAAAATATAAGAGATGAAGCGTATTCATTCTGGGCTACACTGTGCGTTATTGGCATGACTGGGTCTATGGAGCATGAGGCCTTGTCTATGCCATGTAAGAGAATTGGCCACTACTGGGTTCATCTGATATTTTTCTTCCTTCTTCATTGTAAATTTTATACAGATGCTTCAGATCAATTCTGCAGCAACCAGTTTTGTTACCAAGGTGACTAAAAATAACTGAAAATTACTTTACAATTCAGCAATTCTGGTCTTTTATACAAGGCCAAAGTAAAGTAGAGGGCTTTATGTTGTCCAAATTGGTCCAAACTGTTGTAGAAAAGCCAATCAAGAAAATGCAGAACTGAGAATCAGTGTCACAACCTTCTACTTCACTTTTTACTGTACAGACCTGGCTTCTTCACACATGACACAAGGGATATAGCAAATATGGCAAGATATTTGAAAAAGGTTTTATTATTATTATTTTTAAAATAGCACATTGTCATGAGGAGGAAATAGGTGGATAGCAGTAAAAAAAGAACACAACCACAATAATGCCACCACCACCCTCTGGCTATTTCTACATGTAGCATGGGACAGACTGAGGCTCAGCAGACAATGGCCCATATGGGTTAGTGCTGGTAGGCTTCTGGTCAACCAGGGGCTCCCCGCACACTTACTGAGGAGATCTGTACTGGCATAAGACACAAAGCACAAGCAGCATAGATTATCCTTGCCTTGCTTAATACTTTCCCTGCCAGAGCATATTGCTGTGCTGAGTTGGGGGCAGATAAAGCTGAATTGTCTAGACATTTAAAAAAATCTGAGGATAAAACTTTTACCAGTTTGATCATTATTTTATGTTCATCAGAGAAAAGAGACCCATCATATATATTTCTGATGTTAAAAGTACTGTACCATCATCGCAGGAAAACATATTAATACTTTTAAGTTATGTTCAAGTCTTCAAATGCTGAATTGTCTTTTGGATGACATAACATGATTTGTTCAGTTATCTTTTGGATTTAAACATTGTGAGGTAATGGAAAACCTTGGCTTGTTTAAAATTACTTGTTTGAATATCATTAAACATGGTCAAAAAGTAAATAATTTTGCCTATAATTTCAGATATATCTGAGGCCTCCATCCATGAAGATGCAGAGTGAATGAATTGGGCCTTATATCCTTGAACAGAAGCACTGTGATTTGTTATTTTTATTTTGAAGAAAGAACCAGGCCCAGAGTACTGGGTCCAGGCCTGAGGAAATAAATGCAATATAACATAAGGTAAGCAAGAACAAACCAAAGTTACAGCATTACATTTGACAGTGAGAAGACCATTAAAGTAATGCCTTCATGTAAGCTCAAAGATTTGCAGGAAAGTTAAATGGACTGTATGTCACATGGTCATTTGGTATTACAAGATTGAGCATTTTACCCTCATTATAGTCTTTAAAATCAACAGTAGCTTAAATCGTATTCAATCATACCTTTTGTAACTTTTATCCATGTGGACACTGTGAGCCCAAACAGTTTTCATTTCATCTCAAGTAGTCGTAACACTGATTTTATCACTTAAAAAACTACGAATTCGTATGTAAGAAGTAGAATTAACACATTAAAAAGAAGAAAAATGTTAAATGTTTTCTATTCTTTTATAAAATGTTATTGAAATACAACTAGGAAAATAACAGAATATTTTCTTTAGTGCTATTTGCTAATAATGAGTAGAAAAGCTTTTACATATTCCTTTGTTAGTTCAGATAGAGATCCTGCCTCCAATCTATGTCTTTAGCTGTATGATGGATGTGGATGTCATTGCTGAACAACTAAGTATGAAAAATGACTTTTAAAATCCCACCCCCAAAACTGGGCCTTTTATTTCAGATATATAACCATAAAGTGAGGCTTGGCATTGATTTAGTACTGAATTGATATGAAGACATACTACACTGAAAAGGAAGGTATCATTGAACAGCAATAATGCAATCATGTGTGCACACATAGTTATGGAAGTGGGAGATTTGTCATCTGTAGTCTATGTTAAGATCTTGAATGCTTACAAATAATATGAACAACAAGACAACATTATTATATTGTTGATGGATTTATACCATGGTATTCCAACTACACTCTTACTTGACACATCTAAGAAATATCTATTTAAAAGTCCAGCAACTTTTAAAGAAATAAGAGTTTTTAATAACGTGCTTCCAGATCTGAAGATACGTTTTATAACTTGTCATAATTTAAAAAATAAACCATATATTCATTCTTTTCCTTCCTTTGAAAGCTTGTAAAGGGAACATATTTTATAGAAAAATTTTAACATCATACTCAGAATCTGATTCCAATCTATGAATTACACACATTCATGCATTATTGCATCATAAGGTATTGTAACAAGGCACATTTAGTTTAATACTAGTATTCAAGAACTTGATATAATGAGGGTGAAATGAATCAGGAAATCTAAAAACAATAACCTTCATAGTAAGTTCTTTAAAAATTAGTCCCAACTTTCAAGATGATTATCAAAGACCATATCCAAATCCTTCGAAATGCAATGTTTAGATGGAAAGGAAATACAACAATGATTGCAATGGGAATTTACCCCAGCTAAAAGAATAAAACATTTAGTATGACACAATTTTGAAATGGATAGGTCTCTCTAAACTAGCAAAGGACCCTTTAAAAACAGAAAGATAGGCATAGTTTACTTGTGACTTGATAGAAATAGGCATATAGTGCAATGCACTGTTAGATTGTTAGCATGACTAACATGTCAATGGACAATAAACTAAAGAGTCGCACAGAACTTCAACTGGGATCTTTGTCTTTTGACTTAGGTAGAAAATAAAATAAAACTCTTTGTAACTCAAGGATTTTTTTCTGCCACAATGCTAAAATTTAATATTTGGAATAAATTTAATTATATTCATGTAACTCAGAAAATTTTGAATTGTTTCATTAAATTGGCTTACTGATTCAAAAAATTATTTCTCAAGTAAGAGCCAATGCCAGATCTAGGTGACACTAACAATTAGTTATGGGAAAAGATTCTGATCAACTTGATTTTCTAGTGATTCTAAATATCTCATTAGTAAACCCCCTCCCATCATTGTGTGATGTCATGGGCTTTGGTGATATCCCTAATCTGATTATATTAGCTACAGTTATTGAAACACATAATAAGACATAAAAGACTAAAGATATTACAAGTAATTTTCAAAACAATTAATAATTATTTAATATTCTGATATATTAAAGGAAGGCTAGATTCAATGGATCATTCCATTAAAATACCATTGGCCAATAGTAGGTGATATTTCTTTTGTGAGGAAGAACAAATATTGCCACAGAGTTCCATAATTTCTTATTTTTTTATGATCAAACAGTAATTCTACATGGCTATCAAGTTCTGCTTTTCAAAAACTGTTTTCTGATTTTGCGCTTAATTGGTCGTGTCTGAGCTGCAGGTGGCTCTGAGGCCACATCCTGGGAACTGAATTTGAAATGTAGTTTCAGAGCCTTTCTGACAATACGGAGGTGGCACAGTGAGAAAGTTCAATGCATATTAAGTTGTCCCCATTATTATATTTAATATATGGGAAAAATCCTTACATGCAAATAAAATCAAAGTTCTGGGAATAAAGGTAAGTTGTCCCCATTATTATATTTAATATATGGGGAAAATCCTTACATGCAAATAAAATCAAAGTTCTGGGAATAAAGGTAGGGGAAGCTCATTGGCATCCATGCCTAGCTCCTTACAAAAAGAGTCACAAACACTTTGAACTTAAAGATTATCCTTAAATCAGAGTCCTAGGAGGGGCAGAAACTTATTTTTAAGGGTTTCGTTTTCAGCCATAAAACAAACACACATCAGCAGAACTCTAGACCTCAGAACAGGATAACATACTAGTCAATTATTCTTCCCTTTCTGAGCCCAGGAATGGGGCTCAAAAATATGTAAACCACATGTTTGGTTTTCTTCAACCAGCATGGTAACCATCTGATTTCTCTGCAAGACTCTGTATACAGGCTCACAGACCCATTTATATCACAATTTTCCTATACTTTGACCCCTATCAAGTCACAAGGATCAAACCATGCATGGAATACATAGGTCACGGGGATGCCTGAATTCTGGTCAAGGATATAAGGGTTAGAATTGATGAAATTGTAAGAGGATCGAGAAAACCTACTGGAAGCATGATCAACCCAAGGCCGCCACCACTGCTTTTTTTTGCCCTTGGCTTTCTGTTTGTCTGCTTCTCCTAAAATAAAATATGTCCAAATATTAATTCTTATAAGTGAGAAAACAAATTCTGAAAACCACGTTTTAAATAACTCAATTGTCAAAATCTAGATAAGTTGCAAAAATACATCAAAGATCAGGAAAATGAACTATACTGAACCTGAAAAGTTCACATGTATTAGCAGTTGATTTCTCAAGGTAAATATTGTGTTCTACTAACATTATGCCACATTTTCATTTTCTTTTTAATAACAGGGCATAGAAGGAAATATAAAAAAGAAGGGATTATCTGTCAAAAATGCATTTCACACTGAATTTTCTATTGAATTAAAAGAAAAAAAGCATCACCCAAAATTTATAGAACAACTTAGTGGCAAATAATTTGTTAAAATGTATATATTCCTATGATCAAAAATTTTTCTTGTAATTATTTTAATACATAGTTGAAAAAATATAACTTTACTGGTGATTAATAAATACTATCATGCATTATTTATTCTTTATTCCTTTTAAATAGAAAAACATGCAAACACCTAGAAGGACTTTAAAATTTAATTGGATATATCTATAAGTAGATATAGTAAATACATAGCTCATCTTAAGTTTCACTGGGAAGCTAATGATTAAACGATATTTTAACTATCATTATTTACATACCACATAAAATATATGCATGCATACTTAGTTTTCATATAAAATTTATAGAAATCAAAGATTACAGTAGATTGCTTATCTGAAAAATCTTCCCTAAAGTAACAAACATTAAGCAAAAATTAAGCAAACATATACCATTTTCTTCAGAAACATGTCTGTGAAACAGAAACTAGGTTATGTGTTGATTAAAGTTGTCTAGCCAAAGAGAACATATTTGTAAAGTCATGAATTCATTAAACATGTACGTTATGAAACAAATAAAGATATCCTTTCACAATGGGAAGATAAAACTTATTAAGTTAAAAAATGCATTGATAATATTGACAGAATGAAAGTAATGTTATTTTATAGCCCTACCCAATTTCATGCTATTTTTCAATATCAAGGTACTTGAATAAGAGGGAAAGGTCTTAACATACTTTCGTCATCCTCTTCAGAGAGTTTTTGGATGTCTTGGCCTTCCCCTGACTCCTGGGTCAAGCTCAGCATCCTCTCCTTACCCTTTTTGTATTTCTGCTGCCTGGCTTTGATGCGGTCCATCCTGTAAGAGACAAGAGCAACAGCAATGTCAAGAACTCGTCTGCAGGTACCATGTGGTCATACTTTGGATTTACACTTTTATGTATGCAGCTAAAAGCATGAACAAAGTAGTATTTGGGACTTGTGAATGGCTTCTTATTAGGAACAGATATCTCCATCTATTTTTTTATATATCCATGTTAATTTCCACTACACAGATGCTAGTCTTAATAATATGAGCAATAATAATCATGCTAAAGTTTGATATGTGATATTTTATGACTACTTACATCTTGTACCATAGTCATTCTGAACAAAGCCTATTATGAAATACAAGTCCTTTGTTATCCCAGAGTTTGCATTTTTATAATATCTGTTTTTCTTACATAATTGTGAACATCAAATAAAGAAATAAATGAATGGGAGAACTGTTTTGAAAATAGCAAGTTACTCCTCAAATGTTCATAAGTCTTTTGTTAGACGATATGCCTCTTCCCTATTTCAAATCTAATCATTTGGTTCTGGAAAAATGTATTATTGCATCTTTAAGTATTAATTTAGTATCTTTATTTTGTCTGCTTATTCAGGAAGTCTAGTCCTGAAATGTTGAGCTCTATTTCCCAAATCTGCCTTCCTGAGATATTTCATTATTTAATTTAGTTATCTAAAATTCTGGATATTTGCACAAGTTTTTAAAATGATTTAAGCACAATTTCTACTTTGTGCATCTAAAACAATATTTTCAGTTTGTCTTTTGCAATGATCATTGTCTTCATTTTTTTTATTCTGAACTTTTATCACTTAAACATATGAAAAAATTCAGTGAAGTGAGTTATAGTAACAGGCTTCACTTATGGGGACACATTCTAAATGTGGGACCAAATTTGTTATTTCTCTAGACTTGATTTAGGTAATTAGAAACAACAAAAGCAACATTTACACACTTTTACACTATATATGTAATATCTTTGTGAAAATAACCATGCCATGGGATAGTGTAATTTAGAGTAGCAAATATTTTTGCATGGATAAAAATAAGGCCAGAATGGAATGAAGAAATTTTAGCAAACTCAGGAAATTTTTCTTCAGGGAAGTGGCTAGACTTTGAATTCTAGGCCATAAGCTCTTAAACATTAAGGGCTGCCAATCCTCAGAAGTTGCATTCATTGCTGGAAGTTTCACTCTAAAAAATTGTTTACAGTGTGCTTTAAAAAAATTAGAATTCTCAAATCCCTTGGGAGCCTTGACTTCTCCAGAATGTTGTGGAAAAGGTCTTGAACTGAATATAAGGAAATGAGGGTTGGAAAAGGTCTTGAACTGAATATAAGGAAACGTGGGTTGTCATATTTCCAGTGCTGCCTCTAGTTAGTTGTGATTTTTAAGTTCTCTAAAATGGTAGGTCATCACTTTCTACTCAAAGAGACTGGATTATGTTATCCCTAAAGATCCTTCCAGAGCCAGGACTCTGCATTTATTTTTTTAACCCACAGATAGAATGATCATTTTCTCCAAGTACCTGGCACTGGGCAAGATGCTGTCTCGTTTACTAACTTGTTTAATCTCCATAAAAACTAAGGTACAATTGTGAGCCCTAATTTAAAACAGAAAATTATAATTCAGAGAGTGTGAATGACTTGCTCAAATTTCCAGAGTAAACAGCCGAACTAAGACTTGACATTTTCCCTACCTAAATTGGCTCCCTTTCTACTATAGTGCAGCCATCTTTTTCTTTTTTGTTTTTAACGACCTCCATTTTCATCCTTTCAGGCATAAGAGTTAATACCTGATGCAAATGTAAATACCTGGGAAGCTGGGAAAGCTAACATGAATAGGTTTTTCAGTGGATTGAGGCTTCTTGAGAGCTGAGAGTGTCTGAGTGGGGTCATACAAATCAATAATGAAAGGAATGGAGGAGAGTAAAATAAAGCATCCTTACTGCCTCTTCAGCTGATCCATTGACTTTTTCTCTTCCTCAATTCTTGCTTTTACAGCCTTTACAATTGTGGCCCGGAAAAGTTCAGCTCCTCTGAAGGAAAATCGGAAACAAAGAGCAAATTACACCTTTATTGTTGTTACTTGCATTACCCTAAAATGATGACTAAAGGTAGAAAACATTTCCTGTTGGGCTGTTGACTGGACTTTCCTGGCTGGGAGTGGGAATTAGAAGGCTCTTTCTAGAAGCCCCTTCCTAGTGAATGAACATGCCGCAACCTCCCCGCCCCCACCACAGCCCAAGAAGGAGGAGCAACTCATACCGTGAGAGATTAGTGAAAATAAGATGGTTTTTGTTTTCTAAGAAAATAAAAGCCATGTGCCCCTCTTCATACCTGTCCCACAGAATGTTATACCTCAGCAAGGTGTTATTCACCTGACTTGATTCTAGTTGTCCCACTAGGGAACATTTGCAAGAAAGTTGAGTTCAGATTGATTTCCTACTCTATAGGCAGAAAAGGGTATGGCGTTAAGGATTCCTTCAGGAGCATGTAAAGTTGGAGTGCAAGCCCCATCAATGGGATTTTCATTCTCTTGCCTCTCTGATTCTATTCTATCTCTCCTCTCCCTTCTTTTTTTCCCTCAAATTTCAAGCCAACTTAAGGGATCCCATAGATCACATCAATCACTCAATATCCTCCATTCTGTCCCATTGTCACAGGCCTGGCAAATTACAAGTCTATAGAATCCCAATGGTGTGTCAGCCCTGTGCTTGGACAGGCTGTTACCAGAGGTACAGAAAACGCATGCCTGGCCAACTATCCACTGCATCGCTCTCTAGAAACTCTTCTTCTCCTCTCTAATGTCTATTTCTAACTTCTTACCCTTTTATCAAATCTTGAATTCTGTCAAAGGCTTTTGACTCCTCATAAATTACCTAGCTTCCTACTTCCCAGAAAGAGCAGGAGCCATGAAACACAATTATTTGCTCAGCTTTCTGCCATTTATTCTGCCCTTTCCTGTAGTGACAAAAGAAGAGGTGATGTTCTCCTGTCTGAGGTCTGCCTGTGCTCAGGTCCCATCCCCACCTGCAGCCTGAGGGATTCCACACTTTCCTTTATTCCTCTCTTCCTGCATTTTCAACCTATCCTCTACTATTGAAATCTGCTCAAAAGCAAGCAAACATTCTCAAATCTTAGATGAAGAACCCATGCACATGCCACAGTTTCCTATTTATAGTCTTCCATCACTGCCCCTGAAGTCAGATGTCTTGCAGTCACTGACTCCAACCCTTTACTTTCAATCTCAGATCACTGGTGTCTGGCTCTGACTCTTACCTGTCAAGTTCACGAATTTCACTGTTTAATTGTCTGGTGTCTCTGAGATGGTACAGCAGGGAAGAAAATCACATACCTAGCCGTTAACACCCTCATCTCAACGGTATTTCTTTTAATACCTAGTCCTCTTCACGGTATTTCCCCCTAAACTTACAAGATCAGGGGCAAAAACTGGAAACAAAGTGAATGGAGTATAAGAAATCTGCCCTACCTTGATGCCAGGATCTGTGAAGCTTTTATATCTGCCACAACATGTAGGAAATAGTAACTCATAAAAACTCTTCTCTGTAGCAGAAGAAAGGCAAAACATATGCTGTCCCAAATAATTCCTGCTTCACCACTGGGTAGTTTACATGAAGAATCATCCTCAGCTGAGGCAAAAAATAAAAAATAATTAAAATTAATATCCATTTTCATTGTCATTTTATACCTGTGGTGTGATCAGTCTTAAGAAATCACACAGGCATGAAAGCAACATTCTGATCCATCAACTCACTTATGAGTTGATTTATTAACAGGCAAAGCCACATACTTTAAATCCAATATGAACATTAATCCATAAGGCTGACCACAGAGTGAACTCTTGGCAATGTAAGGAAGAGGATCAAAGGTTCTTTGCCAAGGAGGGCTCCTGAATATATCCCTCTTTTAGGGAGAAAGGGACCCCCTGACCCCAACTCCCAACAAAGACCATAAAAAATAATGTCTGCATGTCTTAATGTCAGAGGCAATGCTCTGGAATGGGCTCTACCCAGTGGTAGGCAACACAGTAAGGTCTATTAGAAGAAGGAGTCTCAATAACATGACTGATCCTAAATCAAAACAAATCTCCAGTGACTCTTAGTCTTTAGGAAAGTATAGCCTAGATTATCAGCCATAGAAGGGGAGCATGATGTTTAAATTGTCTCCATTCTGGGCACCAATGGAGGACCACGTGTGTGTTGTTGTGGGCTCTGGTGCAAGAGGAAGAAAAATGGAAATGGGATTCTGTTTCTGGCCTGGTGAGAGTATAACTCCAGAAATTCTGCAGCTCTTCCCATTTGTTTCCTGAGTTTGAAGTTCTCTGAGCTTCCTAAGGAGGGAAGAGCCTGGTAGTCAGATTAACGCTGATGACTAAAGACTCTAACTGCAACAACCACAGGTTTGAGCGGGCTTCTCTAAACCTTCCTAACCATAATGCAAAAAGGTTCTGGAAGTTACCACAGGCCACACCCAAATCCAGACCAGCAGGATTTGGGATGCTTGTGCATGACAATCCAAGATGTCTAGAGTAGGAGCACTCCCCATTATGGATAATAGATTCAAAATGCAAGGCAATTCTATAGCCTCCATGTAGGTCAAACTGAACTCCACTTTTATCTCTTTTCTTTACATGTTTTGGCCCAACTTTTCAAGTAGAACAATATAGCGGTCCTTCCTTCTTTGTTCTTCCATTCCCAAATATGCTTTTCATACTTACGCATTTTATAGCCTTTGACTGTGCAGGCTAGGCTGAAAGCCTGGATCAACCAGCAACTATTTTTAACCAATTTTTCAATGTATCCACATGCTCCTATCTGAAAAACAAATGGGAAAGGCAAATTCTGAAACTCTGCACCCAGAAAAAAAGCTTGATGTCTCACAGTCCCAAATGTGCAAGATTTCACACAAGTCTCAGTGCCAGTGATTATGGGAAGTGCTGACCATACCTAAAATTACAATCCCCATGGAGTAGTGCTTCAGGAACACTATCATTTCCTAGAGAAAATTAAGCCCAATGAGTAAAGGAAGAATTTTTAGTGTGATGTTTTCTGCACTTGGAAGCACCTCTCTTTTCAAAGAGGAAATCTTGGATTAGATTTCCTTACCCATTTGTGATAGCAAATGGGTAAGTGCTTGGACCCCAGGACTTTGACTTTGGTACAGTTATTTTCCAGCAAATGACACATATTAAACTTATGCTACTTGCCCGGACATCATCACAAACATAAGCTGCATGATATATAGTTCTTAGAATACAAGCAGAGTATGTGTTTTGAGGCTTTAATGGCCAATTCTCTGGATAAAGAAATCTTTTTGGTTGATTTGCATGTGGTTGTCTTATAACAATGCTTTCTTATCATATGTTAAATTCATATCCTGGGGGGGTGGGGGGAAAGTTTAAATAAACATTAATCATTGCAAGCCAACATGTAAGGGTAATGTCTGAATTATGTATATTTCCTCAGGACATGTGAAATTGGAGGATATAATTAGGATTTGCTCCCAAATCAGCAGTTACCCAGCATTAGTATCCAATAGAACATGCTTTCTGAATTCATATTTTAGTCCTACATAGCCATGCTTTTGTTCAGCTTTCCTATGTTGGTATCATTCTCCCCATTTTTTCTCCCTGGACACACTTCAATCTGTCTTTTAAGTCTCTGATGGGTTTAAACAGCATCACTGCCAAGAAGTCTGTTCCCAACCTATTTAAGCAATATATTAGGTACTCTTTTTTGTTTTATTTTTCTGAATTGTTGTGATAATTAGCCTCAAAAGATCATATTATAATTATAAGTAGGTTGATCTTCCTTTTTAAAAAATGTGAGTTTATTTGGGGTAAAATTTAAGTACTATTTATTTATGGCTCTTCAAGATATAAAACAGTGCCTAGCAAAAAATGTGCAGTATAGGTTTACAGAATAAATGAATGCATGGATTTTGTAAACACATATTTTCCAGGAATGGTTGTAGGGATCAGCTTCTAGTAATGGATCCTTAACTATCATACTGGTTTAGAATGAAATGATAGGAATCTCATATACTCTCCAATAACTCCCAATACTACCCCAAATGTAAAATACTGGTGAGGTAAAATTGACAAATAAAAGTCACTTTTAGTATCAACTAGAAATTAACATTTTAATGGACTGTAGACAAAATAAATTATTCAAATACACATTCATAGTAACACAGACTTGACTTTCCAAGACCTCTAAACACAGCAATGGATTTGCTTCCCTCCACCAAATCAAATGCTTTTACAGTTAAATTGCCTGCCTGGTGAGCTCATCTTTAAGTAGTTTGGAAGGAGAGAAGCAGGAAGTCATTACATCACTGTTCTTCTAATGCATGATCAGGTATAGTCTGAGAGTAGCAGGCATGGGGATTAACTTTAAGTTAGGGCCAACTTGAGATGCATTAACTCCTTCAGTTCATGAAAGATTATTGTTAAATATCCCCAAACAACAAATAACTGGTGCCCTTGTGGCCCAAAATGTTTTATGTGACTCTGAGATTACAAGGGGGCAGTTTGAGTTATCTAACAGGTCTTCAAGACTGCGTAAGGGAAAAGCTATGCTCCGGAACATGGAATTTTAAAAATCAGAACAAACTTTGTAGAAGAAAGAGGTGGGTTGTGCCTCAACTCTGTTTTTTTAGATGGGCCCTGATCACAATGCCTATGCTCGGAGGCAGACATGAACTTGTGATTGCCCGTGTATCTACCCACATCTCATGCATGCATAAAACATTCATGCTTTCAATATCTTATTTCATCTCATTCCCCACCCCACACAGTGTTACAGAGAACTATGCTCATTTTATTTAATACTTTTATAACTTTTTCTAGATAAGAGAGTTCTTTTAGCCAACATGATATGACTTTAAAGAGCCATTTTGTAGTATCATAAGAGTGATGATAAATTATTCCTCAGAAGAGATGGGATTTTAATTAATAAAATATGTTTTAGAGTTTATTTCAATGAATATATATCCTCTCATCATGTGACCTCAAGATAGTGGAAATAATCAAAAAGATTTTGCTTAATATGGCAAAACAAGGAGTAATAAATGGTTACTTGAATTCTGAATTTGCAGCATCTCAATTAGGGTTTTTAAGAGAGCAGTATGATAGACAATGGGTTTTTAATAATAACTGAATAGATTTTTTAATCTTACACTGAAACCACAAATGTGTTACACAATGAGAACCACTTACTGACAGTATGTTTTTCATTGTAATTACAAAAACGTTGTATGCAATTAGCCAGTCCCAGTAACGCAGGATGCTCTTGATAGGTTTCAATAGCAAGTCACCCCCAAAGAGCAGGAAATAAAAGCAGGCCACCAAGTAACCCATGCAAAAGATGCTGATCCTTGTTGTCCCGGTAATGAAGATGATTGTGAGGACAAACCAGAAGAGGTAGCTGAAGATAATCACTTTGGACATGTCTAAGTATGATCTGAAAAATAAAACCAAATCATCAAAGGAAAATAACAAGACAAAGAAAAAATTATGTTGGGAGATTCAACTTTAATTAGGGAAAAAATCATACTATTCATTTGACTCCACTTGCAAGTAATACTATAAGCTCTGTCTTCATCTTCATTTAATACTGCTGGTCTACAGAAAATCCTCACAGAAATAGTAATGGACAAATAGGTAAGTTGTGAAAACACTGTGTGCATGTTTATCATCAACTGATTTGGGCCAAATTTCCCACAAACAGCAAAATTTTCTGCCTACTACTTGAGTACTCAGAAGTCCTGTCTTTCTATAGGAGGCTTCAGTAATTGTATATCAAAGAAAATTCTAGCATACAGATGCCTCCAGGAGCAAGAGAATGGTTAATAAAGTGTTTCTCTTGAAGCTAAAGGAGTTCATTGTTACCAAAGCAATTTACAAGAAATGTAAAAGAAACTTCTTTAAAAAGAAGATGGGGGGAGAACATAAATATAAAGAAAATGTCAATACCTACATATATATCAATTATCACTTTAAAAGTAAATTGATTAATTTGTCAATCAAAAGACATATAGTGGCTTACTAAATAAGAAAACAAAACCCATCATATGTATGCTGTCTTTGATACCCACTTCAGATTGAAAGACATACAAAGACTGGAAAGATACGGATGAAAAAAGATGTTTCATAAAAATGGAAATGAAAAAAGTTATAAAACAAAGACTATAATAAGAGACAAAAAGACATTACGTAATAATAAGTGGATCAATCCAACAAGAGGATATAACCCTTGTAAACATTTATACACCCAGTATAGTAGCATTAAAATATATAAAGCAAATATTGATGGACATTAAGGTAGAGATTGACAGTAATGCAGTAATAGTAGGAGACTCTAATACCCCATTGATTAATAGATTTTCCAGACAAAAAATGTCAACAAGAAAACTGGCCTTAAATGACACATTAGATCAGGTATATTTAGTTGATATTTTTAAACATTTTACCTCAAAGCAGAAAAATACACATTCTTTTCAAGTGCACATGGGACATTTTCCAGAGTGGACCACATGTTAGACTATAAAACAAATCTCAATAAATTAAAAAAGACTGAAATCATATCAAACATCTTCTCTGTCCACAATGGCATGAAATTACAAATCAATTACAAGAAAATTGAAAACCACACAAGCACATGGGGGCTAAATAACATGTTACTAAACAATGGATGGGTTATAATACAATCACAGAAGAAATCAAAAGACACCTGAGAAAAATAAAAAAGAAAACATAACAACTCAAAATCTATGAAACACAACAAAACAATTTTTAGAGATAAATTCATAGCAATATTTGCTATAAGAAATTTTTAGAAAACCTCAACTAAACAAACTAATCTTACATCTCAAGGAACAAGAAAATGAACAACAAACAAATACACAAAATAGTAGAAGAAAGGAAATAATAAAGATCAGAATGGAAGTAAACAAAATGGAGTCTCAAAAGAACAATACAGGATATCAATTAAGCCAAGAACTGGTTCTTTGAAAAGATAAGCAAAATCAGAAAGCCTTTAACCAGATTCATCAAGGAAAAAAGAGAGAGGACCCAAATGAATAAATCAGAAAGAAAGAGAAGTGACAACTGAAATCATAGAAACACAAAAGATTATAAGCAAATACTTCAAAAAACTATATGCCAACAAATTGGACAACCTGAAAAAATGGATAAATTCCTTGAAACATACTATCATTTAAGACTGAATTAAGAAGAAACATAAAATTTGAAGAGACTGATTACTATGAACAAAATTGAATTAGTAATCAAAAATTCCCAACAAACAAAAGTCCTGGACTGAATGGCTTCATAGGTTAGTACTGACACACATTCAAAGAAGAATTAACACCTATCCTTATCAAAGTATTCCAAAAAATTTGAGAGAAGGGAAGGCTGCCAAGCACATTGGACAAGCCCAGCATTACTCTGACTTTAAAACCAGAAAAAGACACTACAAAGAAAGAAAATTATAAGCCAATATCCCTGATTAACATAGACACAAAAAATCTTCAACAAAATATTAGCAAGTGGAATTCATCAGTATATTAAAAAGATCATATACCATGATCAAGTGAGCCTGGGATGCAAGGTTGGTTCAATATCTGCAAATCAATTAAGGTGATACACCATATAAACAAAAAATAAAAAATAAATAAAATTCATATGATCATACAAATAGATGCAGAAACAACATTTGGCAAAATCCAGCATCCATTTATGATAAAGTGGGAATAAAGTAAACATACATCAACATAATAAAGGCCATATACAACAAACCCACAGATAATAGCATACTCAATGGAGAAAATCTAAAAGCATTTTGTTTTCCTTAAGATTAGGAACAAGACTAGGTTGTCCACTGTCAACATTTTTATTCAACATGGTATTGGATGTCCTAACCACAAAAATCAGATAACAAAAAATAATACAAGGCATCCAAATTAAAAAGGAAGAAGTAAAACTGTTATTATTTGGCAATGACAATGATATGGTATATAGACAGCCATAAAGATTCCACCAAAAATGCTAGAACTGATCCATGAATTCAGTAGTAGCAGGATACAAAATTAAATTCAGAAGTTGGTTGCATTTTTATTCACCAATATTAAATTATCAGAAGAAGAAATTCTAAGAAAAATATATTTATAATTGCCTCACAATAAAATGCCTAGGAATAAATTTAACCAAGGAAGAAAAAGACCTGTACTAGGAAGATTATAAGACTCTGAAGAAAGAAATTGAAGAAGGTAAATATGAAGACAGGGAGTCAAAGCAGGACAATGTAATATGGAGACACATAAAAAAAGAGTCACCTAAAATGGGAAGAAAAAGAAACAATCCCCAAGTAAAAAGAAAGGAGAAATCCACAGAAAAAGTGCTAAAAGAAATTGAGGCCAGCAAATTATCAGACATAGAATTAAAAGTAATGGTTATAAGGATGCTCAAGGAACTCGATGAGAACTACAAGAAACTTTATGGGAGTTACCAGGAACTTAGTGGGAACTATATCAGCATGAAAAAGGACAGAGATTTCTTTTTTCTTTCAGTGTTGCTGGTCTTATTTTTCTTACATCTTTGTTTGTTGGTTAGGTTCTGCTTATAGGTGAGATCATATGGTATTTGTCTTTCGCCCCCTGGCTTATTTTGCTTAGCATAATGCTCTCTGGTTCCATCCATGCTGTTGTGGAGTGTAGTAGTTCTCTTTTTCTTTCTGCCGCGTAGTATTCCATTTGAAAATGTACCATAATTTTTTGATCCAATCATCTACTGATGGGCATTTAGGTTGCTTCTAACACTTGGCTATTGTAAATTGTGCTGCTATGAACATTGGGGTGCATAGGTTCTTTTGAATTGGTGTTTTGGGATTGTTAGGGTATAGTCCCAGCAGGGGAATCACTAGATCAAAAGGCAGTTCCATTTTCAGCTTTTTGAGGAAATTCCACACTGCTTTCCACAATGGCTGCACCAGTCTGCGTTCCCACCAACAGTGTACTAGGGTTCCCTTTTCTCCACAGCCTTGCCAGGAACATATAGCAAGGACTCACAGACAGAGCCAAAGTGGAGAAAGATTGAGGGAGGGAGAGGGGGGAGGGGGGCAGGGGAAAATGGTGGGGGGAAGGCGGAGACAAATGTATTCGAATAAATGAATTTAAAAAAAAAGAAAAAGGACAGAGAAACTATGAAGAAGAACAAGGAGGAAATGAAGAATATATGAAATGAAGAACACACTAGAAGGAATTACAAGCAGGCTAGATGAAGCAGAAGATCAAATCAACAAATTAGAGGACATGGCAGGAAAAAAACACCCAATCAAAGCAACAAAATGAAAAAAAAAACACTTCAAAAAGAATGAATAATTTAAGGGAGCTGCAGGACAACATGAAGTGTAACAATGTTTGCATCATAAGGATACCAGAAGGAGAAGAAAAGAAGCAAGGGATAAAAAACATGTTTGAAAAAATAATGAAACAAAAGTTCCCTGTCTTAGTGAGGGATAAAGTCATGAAAGTTCAGAAAGTACAGAAGGTCCCAATCAAGATGAACCCAATGAGGCCCACTCCAAGATATATCATAATTAAAATGGCAAAATTTAGAGACAAAGAGAAAATCTTATAGGCAGCAAGGGAGAAACAGCTAGTGACATACACGGGAGCTCCAATAAGGCTATGGGCTGATTTTTCAGCAGAAACAATACAAGCCAGAAGGAATGGCATGATATATTCTAAGTAATGAAAAACAAAGACCTGCAACTGAGACTGCTCTCCCCAGCAAGGCTCTCTTATTTAACATGAAAGGTAAAATAAGGAGTTTCCCAGGAAAAAAAAGGCTAAAAGGGTACATCTCCACCAGACTAGTGATGTGAGAGATGGTAAAGGGGCTGCTTTAAGGAGATGAAGAGAGAGAGAGCGAGAGAGAGAGAGGCACAAAGGAAAAAATGGCAATGAATAAACACCTATCAATAATAATCTTAAATGTAAATTGATTAATTGCTCCAATCAAAAGACACAGGGTAGCTGAATGGGGAAGAAAACACAACCCTCATTCAGCTGCCTACAAGAGTCCCACCTCAGAACAAAAGATCTACACAGGCTGGAAGTGAAGGAATGAAAAAAATATTCCAAGCAAATGGACATTAAAAAAAAAAAAAGGCCAGGGTAGCAATACTTATAGGAGAGAAAATTGATTTCAAAACAAAGGCCATTTCAAGAGACAAAGAAGGTCATCACGTAATACTTAAGGGAGTTGTCCAACAAAAGAATATAACCCTTGTAAACATACACACACCCAACATAGAAACACTTAAATATATAAGGAAAATCTTGGAGGACTTTAAGAAGGAGAGCCATAGCAGTAGTCATCACAGGGGATTTTAGCACTCTACTGTCAACAATGGATAGATTGTCCGAACAAAAAATTAACAAAGACATTGCGGCATTGAAT